AAGTCAAGGGTAAGCTTGCAGAAGTGCATTAAAGAAAGAAATCTGTAGTGCATATGCACTATACCCAAAACATAAATGAAAGGAAGCTCAGAACTCCGATTTCAGGACGGTAATTGAGAGTGTATTGAACCACTTAACTCCATACCGTAGACCACACAGTGTCCATTACAGAGTCCAGAGGGAAAAGGTGGAGAAATGAGTCATACCTGATGAACTTACTGCAACTTCATGGATGTCTCATGATGAAACTATGGAGAAGTAACTGATTACGTGAAGTGATTAGAAAACAAGTATAAGTGGCAATGATAACATACCTTGCATTAAACTGAAAAACATGATTACCAGTTGAACAACTAACAGGTGGATAGAAGGTAAAACACTTTACAGTCACTGCCTGGCTGCCTCCTTTGTTTTGGTATTTTTAGAATACAAAAGCCTCCTGTTATGTTTTTCTTTATTATTGTTTTACTTAATTTGCAATTCCTACACTAACTCAAGTCACACTGATTTTTAGAATAATCCTGTCTGACATTGCCACATAGTGAATCTCATTATCAGAGGAGAGCCTGATACATAGTATTAGGTCCCATTTGCAGGACTAAAGTCACTCAGAAGGGGCACAGATAAACCTTTTGTAGTCTGCATCTTTGTACAATGATGTGAGATCCAAAAAGCCATTCCTTATCATCACTCTCTTTTCTGCTCAATATGTTTACACAATGTAAATGACTGAAAATTTAAGAGATATGGTAGAAGGCTCTCATACCTACCCAAGGTATTATTTGTCATACCAAATCATGCTGCATACTGCTGAAGAGCTGGAACACAGACACTGGAACATTTGACTGTGAAAGATTTCATTTTATCGCTACCTTTTACAAATGGAAATTACCATTCTATTAGTAATCATGATAACTTCAGTCTATCTTTATTTTTAAACTGTATGATGATCAATACAGCATGTTATGTGGGGAAGTATTTATTTTCTTTTTAAAAAGATAAATTATATTTTTCTGACCTGACCCCAATAAAGAGTCAAAATATGCTTCTTAAGATATTACATTAGTGTAAGCTGAATACTATAAAAATGAATTCCTGTCTTTGTAAAAAGCTAATTTCACAGACATTGAAAAGACTACATTTTCTTTTTCAAAAAATGCATAAAAGATCCTACTTCTGATACCCCTTATTTGTTCATAACTGAGAACCAGAAAATATGTACAAAACTTGTAACTTTTGTCTTTCACACATATTGCATGTACAGCTTTGTTTTGGTCTAAATCTTACTTATAGTAAAGTATCATTCAACCCACCACAAATCAATTTTTAACTTTTGAAAGGACTACTGATTCACATTACTGAAATTGCATAACACCCTGTAATATGGATTACCAGGAATAACAGCTACCAAGAATAAAAGCTCAAGTTTAATTGAGTTATTAATTTGCAGGTTGAAATAGCAAAGTCTATGTCCTTACTCCTAGTATGAATACCGATTTTGCAATGACAAGTTGAAGAAAACTGCATTAATATTTTTGCCTTTATTTACATATATAGTTACTGGTTTTATGAAAGACCAGTTGAAAACAAAATACTTCCATAACTTCACATACAAGGTAATGTGATGATAATTCACTCTTCTGACAATTTTTAATATCTTTGGCATGAGATGTCATTAGGAAGAGTAAAACTGCAATACAGAATCATTACATTTGACACTTTGGGGGCCACGCTGCCACGCAAAAGAGAAGTAAAAAATCCAGCTTTATTTTTCAAACCCACAAAGTGTGAGAGGGTGGGTGCAACATGGATGAACTGAGTTAGTGAGGGTGGTATTATTTGTGGGCTCACATGACATTAACAATGTTAAGTCCAGTGAATGGCACAATCCAAGTACTGTATGTCACTGAAAAATGCAGCAGGACCTCAGCCCTGCTGAGGTAAATCAGGTAATTTGATGGGTTTTAGTTAACAATGTAAAACAAAGTATTCTTCAGCAATTTTCTAAGAAACAAGGATTGAACCTTTTTGTAACACAACTCCTGAGGGGTACAACAGACATTTTCTGAATCTTCATACTTTCAGATACTTACCTGCCAACATCCCTTTCTCACATCAAACAAAAAGGTTGTTTTGTCTCAAAAAGTGATTTAAGAGGTTCACTGATATGGTGCTACAGCAAAGCCTAGTAGCAAAATTGGACACAATCTGATTGTTTTGCAAGTCTCACACTTTTAACAGCCTCCTGGTGCAGCCAGAGCATTGCTATTTAGTTTCTTATTAAGGGTCAGACTTCAAACCTCCCTCTTGTGTGTGATCCGGCAGGTTCCTTCTGCATGCAGTCAAAAGCATCATGTGGCTGTTAACAGAAATCAATTTCAATGTGTCCCCCACTGTATTGGAACTCTCACCTGGCAGGTAATCACTTTCAGAGTCTTCTACATACCAGTCATGATAAAGAGACAAGGATGTTCCTCAATTTTGTATTTGCAACTCTTTGGTCAAGATGCCAAATACTCAGTGTGACACATTTAGATAGCACCTGCATTGTTCTACATCTGTATGAAACTTCCCAGGATCATTCTGGGAAAGTAATTTTGATCCAAGAATTGAATGCTGAAAACCACAGAAGTAAGAGACCATGCACATCAGCACAGCACAGCAACTACTTAGCTATTTTCTTATTTTCATTTTACATGACTAAACAGGAAATTATTCCAAACCTGTGGAGTTCAAGAAACAGCACGTACTCTATTCCTTAAATAACTGAAAACAAACCAACACAAATTAGGACCATTTAAAAGCCTTTTCAAACCCCTGGAGCAGAATTTCAACTCAATTCTCAGGAACTAGACATGGGCATAAGTACCACAGAAAAGCCCAATACCTACAGGTATATAAGGACTCAAAAGTAGAACCCATCACTTTCCCACATAAGGTGCTTGTTTAAAAAAAAAAAGTCACTTCTTTTCCTGGTTTCTCCAGAGATAATTAGGTACTGCACAGCTCATCCATCTGAAGCAGCATGAGCATGCCATCTGCAGTTCTTTAAAAACTTTGACAGCTGCCATACTCACTATTACACAACTTTGCATTCCTAATCCATGTCCCTGGAACACACAGCAAAGTTCTAGCATCTACTAGCTAGTTCCACAACACGATGTGTTCTCACAAAATATAGCAAATTTTGTAAACATACATTTGCAAATTACCAATGCCTAATAAAAAAGAATATGCTCAGAGTACTTAAAACCTATTGTAAGTTTACAATTGCCAGCAGTTAATATTTAAGTGAATGAGTTTTTCCCTTCAAGAGAAGTTAATGCTTGTTTAGATACATAAAGATGGTTAGTTTACAAATCAGACTGGTAAGATGTGGCTTTGAGTCCAAGCCTCCATGCAACTCTTCAACAAATAAACTTTAATAAAATTGTAAAAATCCAAAGGAATTCAACAGTAATTTTGATGAAAGGATTAAAAAGGAGAGGTAATAAATATATATATGGAAATGCCTATTCACAAAATACCAAGAAGATATTTCTCCAGACAACATACTTAGAGAAATCCAGAATCAAAAAGAAGGAAAGCTTTCTGAAAGATCTCAGAGCAGCAATGAAAACAGATCTTTGCCTTTTCTTTCCCAAAAGGCTACAGCCAAGAAAATTTGACTTGCATTCTATTCACTGATGATTTATGATATATCAGAAAAATTTTGGGGCCGCTTAAAAAATGCTTCATGTCTAGAAGTCCACAACAACAAGATTTTCATCTTCTCTGAAGTGAAATTTTACCTTTAATTTGAAATCATTCCAACATAATAAATTATGTAACTACGAAAACTAAATGAACATTACAGCTTAAGAGCCATTTCACTGAATTGTCAAATTAAATTTATGATGAACCATTCATTGGAACTGTAAGAAAGTCTCCCCCTCAAAATTCCTACAAATAGCAAAAATTATCTGTCACTTTTGCTGTCCTCCAAATCAAGTGCTAAAATATAGATAAAACAAAGAATTGACACTATAATTCTTTCTCAATGTGAAATCTTGCATTACCATCTGCTCCCCAAGGGGATGGTGGTGAAAATCACACAAAATATCTTTACATTTCAGCATTCTTGAAACAGACGAAAAAGAACTCAGCCTTAGTTATACTGTCATATGTAGGCACCAGTGAAAATACATAATGTAATTTTCCTATGTTCAGTTTAAAATGGCCTTATATAACCTTTACCTTCTTTTGAGGGTCACGTATTTGAAATTTAAATTTTTCTAATAGATTCATCTAAAGCATAAGGAAGTCTTTGAAATAATCCCAATGCAACTGCAGTATTCATTACATTAGTTATGAAGATGAGAATAAATTACATGATGAGTGATATCATTCTTAAATGAAAATCAGAAATTACCAAGCACTGCAATTTCCCTGTTTCCAACTACTGAAATACTTATGACTACATGATAGAATCTTACACATACGTGCTTTCCATACTTAACATACAATGCTTTTCTTCAAATCGCTGTAGAAATATTTCAATACAAGAGATGAGTCTGTTATTAGTCATCAATGCATAGAGTACTTAACATTGTAAAAAACGGAAATATTGCAAAAAAAAAGTAAAAACTAAGAAGGATGAAGTTCATATTCTAAAAGCATGAGGTAAAAATGCAGTCATGTTGTGCAATGAAAAAAATAGCAAGCTTTTGGCTACTTACAGAATAATTATAATAATTCCTTATATATTTTCCATAGCAAAAAAGATGTATTAGAGATAATAGTGAATTACTCTTTTGAGACAACACCTGCAATTTTTAAGTGCTATGAAATAAGCCACTTAAATGCACTAAAGTAGTATTAAATCACATTATTTAGCTCAGTTTTTAAATTCTGTGTCTTTATTGCTAAAAACCTGTAGTGCATAAAATTATCATTCAGCTTTCATGTAATTAATGTGTTTTCATTTTTGAACATCTAGAAATGACACTCAATTAAATTACCTCTGGTATCCCCAGTTTTCTACATGCATCCAAAAAGTTTTCCACGTTTCTCCTGCATTTGGCCATGCTAAGTTTAGGCTGTAGAACAGAAAAAAAAATTGTCTATGGCTAAAGAAGTCATGAAGAACAGACTTAACTGTAATTAACAGGCTGATACCTTTAAAATTTTTTATATACTCACAAATTTATAGTAGCTATACATTATATTAATGTCCCAGAAGTATTAATGTCTCATTACTTTAGAATCTCAAACATTTCTACAATTTGTCTCACTCAGAACTATTTACCAAATACTTACAGAAGTATCATGTTACCAAAAAGAAAAACCAAAACCCAAACTCCTCACTATTTTAGTTTCTAATTTTATCAGATGTGAAACAATTGTAATTCCTAAATATTTACTTAAACCAAGAATTCACTGCAGTCGCAAGGAATTCAAAGAACTGATTTTCCAGGCTAAAGTAATTTGAAGGCTGTTTCAAGGAAGAGAATATCAATATAAAGTTGAAACAAAATGAAAAAAAAAATTAAAATATGTGCCTTTTGTTACAGAAAATATCACAAGATATTTATTTTTCAAAATCAGCATGAGAAGTTTTTACGCCAGATATTCAAGTTTACAAATTTTGGCAATGTTATATTTTTACCAAAGATAGAAATTATTTCAAGTCAAGGAACAGCAAAAGAAATTGCACCAGAATATCTGAAAAAGTATATTTTTCTTAAATCTGTCTTCTTGAAAGTTCTTACAGACTGCCTCCAAAATCCACGTAGTATTTTCAGAATTGAGAATCAGGGTGCACATGGCAAATTTTTACCAAATTATATGTTAAAAATAAAAAAGGCAAATAGTTGAAAACATACAAACCTCTTTAGAACCAGACTGTTACCAGAAACCTGGAACAATGATCTATTCAATAAATAGATATAAACAGAGAAAACACAATAGTGTTTTCTTAAGTTTTAATAAGTGCACACAGTTTATGTACTGTAATCTTCAAGTCCTTAGATTTAGGTAAGCCAATATTAAATCACTACAGTGCAAGTTTCTGTTCTGTCTGCAGGTAAAAGGAATCACCTCTACATATTACCCAACAGGACAAATATACTAATAACAGTTTTAAGTGCTTTAGTAGCATGACATCTGCTAAATCATACAACGCTGAAGCCAACCTCACTTTTTTTCAATCAACAGAGGACAGGCTAGTTTTCTTTTTTAAGGGTGTACTAGAATGAAAACTTGTAACCAGAGCATTTCATATTGTTCTGAACACAATTGCCATTATGAAAATACTTGATCTTGTTGCTAGATTAGGAACAAGGCAGGATACTTTTGTTCATTTATAAGTGTGCCTGTGTATATATACACACGCATATACCTAGATGATATATATATAAATGTGTTATATATAAAAGTTAATGAACATTTGCAATCATACAAACATTGCCTGTAACAGCAGAGATCTTTCACTGAACAGTAACATGGTTTATGTACCCACACATCACTTGGGAATGAAACAGTAATCAATAAAACACCTCAGTGCAGCAAGAAACTTGCAACTCACAACTGCTGGTGAGGGCACATGAATGCTCCCGACAGAGCGAGGGCGGACGTGGTTGACTAAATGGCACAGAACGACACCGTCCATCAGGGCCGAGCCCAGGTCCTCGGGCAAACAGATCTTTAGCCTTGTTTCTATGTTCTGCAAAGGAAGAATGCAGGCACACTTTGATATAGAAATGCATGAATGGGACAAAAGGGCAATAAATATCCTCATCTCCTATGCTGTAGGCACATAGCTAGGTTTGGAGTTTTTATTACCAAAAACCACAATTCCTTTATATAACTAATTCTTTAGAAACCAAACCACAACCTCCTTTATGCTGGTCACTCAACAACATAAACTTCCTTAAATGAACTCAACACTGCAATGCTGTTGCCACAATATGCAACTTTTTTTATACAGAGAGGTATAAAAACACATTCATACAATTAGTCATGTGACTGACTGTATGTGACTCCTTCCTTTTACCATTTTCTCAAGTCTTTTACTTATCCATCTTAAATTTTCTTTATCAGCAGATAACTGAAACAGAACTACATTGTGTTAATGACTGAACAAGCAGAGAATAAAAGGCAATCTTTCCCTAGTAGCCTAAAAATTACTCAGGAAGCTTTAGAGTGATCAGAAAAATAGGTAAGAGAAGGCAAAACATTCAGATATAAAAGAGAAATTCTGGATACACGTTAAGAAAAACGGAAGTCTCAACAAACAGAATTTGATATTGTAAAATAAAATACTTTTGAAAATACTTAAGTATTTTAAAAAATCCAGCAAACCCAATAGATTGTTATATTTGATGAGTTTCCTGAACTGTGCTCCAATTTTGAAAACATTCCAACTCTACATTAGGAGATAATTACTCCCCATTGTCTTTAAATAGATATTTCTTAGCTGAACCTCTTAATGTCATTACTCTCTATTAATATCTTACCTCAACCTATACTGGTTGAATATGAATACCTATGAATAGGTAATTCTTTTTAGAATAAAGGAAGTAGGTTGGAAGAGATTTTTGGAGGTCACAGTCTAACAAATTTGAAGTGACACCAGAGCCCTGGTTAGTTAAGTTTTGGATATCTGCAAGGACAGAGAGCCCTCAGAATCTCCAAGCAATTTTAGTCAGTGTTTCACTGCCCTTATGGTAAAGAATTTTCTCCTTATAACTATTTGAAATGTCTTTCTCTACAATTTATGCCACTGTTTTTCATGGATTCACTGTTAATCTTTGAAAAGCCTGGCCTTACACCTTCTCTTTTACTACCCTTCAGGCAGCTGAAAGCAGTCACATGATATTCTCAGCACTCTAAAGCAACAAATCCAATCTAAAGAAAACTAGCTCTTCACTTCTTTCTCATACATTGTTTATTTGGGTGGCCTCACCACAAAACAGCCTCCACTGAAGCACTCTAGGGTTTCATTATATTTTCCCTTTTTTTTTTTACTAGACACACTACTCAAATACTTGCATGTAGGTTTCTCAACTGGCAAATAAGGGAGTGCATCATGTTCACTAATAAAATGTTTCATTTTCCCCTTGGTTTAATTCACAAATCAGAAAACATTTTTAATAAGTACACAAAAAAAATACACTTTGAGACTGTTTTTCCAAAACTTGTTACAAAAAGATTCATATAAAGTTAATAAAATAAAAATGTATTTGTTAGAACACTAATTTGTCTGTTGGGAGACTATTCAGTGTAGCTCAGGGTGTGCTTTTTACAGGAACACAGTGCACCTACAATACCAACTCAATACCGTTTCATGCTGGAGTTCATGGCTCTGTGGAATCTTACTACATGCTAACTTACCATTAAATAATTCAAAAGCAAAATTTACTAATATATGTATTTATTGAATACAGTAAAAACTTAATGACTTGTATGTTCTGGGCTATTTTCTTGTGCAATACATAATCAAATGTTCTGGTGGTTACCAATGTCACTAAAGGACCCAGTATATCCAAATAAGTTTCATTAATTTGAAAATCTCACTTTGTGTTTTCAAACACGGTTAGTCTTCCAGCTCAATGACTTGTAATCAAAATTCTCACAAGAAACAAAATAATTTGCATTCTAGGTCATGCTATTTCAGGGTGAGAGTAAAGAAGGATAGTGAGTGGAGCTAAAACATAACACATTAAACCAGCATTATTGGTAGTAGCATTAGGTAATACCAGCATTAGGTAATACCTAAGAGACATCCTTATTACTTCTCCACAATCATGCCTGATTGTGACACAGTGAATAACCTTGTTCTACTTTTCATTGTGAGGATTAACTGAACTAATGCACAAGGCAGGGATCTTGCAAAAATTAGCTATGATTATTTTTAGGAACTTGAGGCTTGCTACATACCTATGGTAACTCTTCAAAGAAATGTTTAAAAGCTGCATTGATGCTGCTGAGCTGACTAGGCTCAGAATAACTACAAACTACTGCAGTTTATTACTGCTACTTCCCCATTACCACATTTTCTTTCCCACTGCCAACAAGTCTGTCTCATCTAATTCCTCCATCTTGTCCTTTTGGCATCATTCAGGTTTAGAATTGATAATACACTACATTCTATCAACTATGTTAAATCTTTAATAAGACCTGTTCTGTTAAAAAAGATATATAATCAGCAGGGCAAAGTTAGGTTAATTCATACTTAGAACAGGTGAGGGCTGAGGTAAGACAAATCTACAAGTCTATCATTCTGCATTAAAAATCCCACCTTTTAAGCATTTTTGGTAAAGAGAAGAACCCTGTTGCTTTAAAATTAAATAATAGAAGATATGTTATTTAAAACATACTGATGATTTTTCAATTGGCCATTCCATGAAGCTAATGAGATAAGAACAAATAACCTTGCAATTCAGATTTGAAGTGAAAATCAACTATTGCTTTCAGGACTTGCAGTTATGTTAATGTCTGTCCCTCTGCCCTGTTAATGGGATGTAACTGGAAACCTTGACAGGTTCAGGCTTGTGATATTCCTCACAGCAAAGGTTGTCATCTCTTTTTTTCAACACAACCAGGTGTCACACAAACATTTCTACCCAGTTGTGTAACACAAATCCTATGCACCAATTTTTCCATCAGGTTCCAGCTCATACATTCAAGACAATGTATCAGGAAATCAACTTCTGTATTCAGATTTTCCACTGATGAAATATTGATTTAATTTCTAAGAAAGCGCTTCAAGCACTGGTTATCTACTTACAGCTTGAACTAATAAATTTCACTGTGCCTTTTACATGCAAAACTGAGGATTTCTCCAGCTGCTTGGAAATAGTTCCTAGACCTCTCTCTCTGTCTCAAGTGCTCACTTCATCCTTTCTGATTAAATTAAACAAGTAGTTAATTCCACCAGTGCAAGGCATGCTGATTAACTGGATGTCATTCAGGTAACTCCCATTATTCTCATTTTTACGAAGTCTTTCCTGAAATACAGACATCTGATCGTGATAAAGAACTTCCGCAACAGTCTCATCAATGTGATTTGCAGAAGCAGAAGCAATATTGCCTCATATAACCTTTCTTGCATTTTTCTCCTTCGGCAACTTTTCCAAAAAAAACCTAAAAAAGACATTCCATCAGCATAAATTAATTCTACCAGCACTCACATACCTCACGTAGCTGCTCCACAAGCTCTCTCTCTTCTCTCATCTGCTCCATTTTCCTTCGAATTGTGAACTGTGGGTCTATTGATTCCAAATTTCTTTGTGGTCTTAAGAACACTGTGATTTTTAAAAAGAGAGATCTTAGTTTAAGAACAAACACTTTTATTTTTTTATTTCTAAATTAAGCAAAATCCTTAGGCATTGCCTCCAGCAAAAACAGCTAGAAATTTTTTTTTGTCCTCCAGAGGACAGAAAAATCTGATCTTAGATTACAATTATGAATGGCTGCTTTTGGGATATTGCTCTGGACACTGTCCTGAGGCAGCAATGGTGCAGATAATTTATCATCCAAATCCTAATCTGAATGGGCAAATTTTGTCAGATGATCAAACACCAGCAGTGTCCCTTAGAGAATCTGATCTCTAAAATGCTTTGTATTTAACATGGCAGGAAACACCTCTTACTCTTAAGTAGAACTCTCTCATAACGAGATGCTGAATTGTGTAAAAAGCTGTGACAAGCCTCCTACACAGAACAAAATGCTTACTAGATAAGGTTATACTAAAAAAATAAAAAACAAAAACAAACCCACCAAACAAAGACAAATGTAGGAAGACTCAGCCATTCAGTAAGTGCCTACACTAAAAAGTCATATTGCAAACATAGCATAGCACACACCCTTGGCAGTTCTCCTTCCTACCAGTCCTGTCAACTCTCACTGCCCACAATCCAGTTCCTTGAAATCATTACATGACATTTCTGCAAATATGCACCTTCACCCTTCCATTTCTGTGAGCAGTGACTGCTTTGAATGGGTCGGAAGAACAAGAGGATGTACAGCCAAAATGCAACTGTCCCTGTTTGTGACTCTGTTTGCCACCTCACACAAGTGTGGTCACGAGGAATCTCACCCAACTGTGTGTAGGTTTACCTGTATGCAGGGTGTTTAATGAGATAATTGATCTAAGTTACTTCTCTACCAAAGGGACAGACAGACAGCACCCTATGGCACTTCAGCCAAAAGCCAGAGTTCTTTCCCCTAGCTACTATAAGCTTAAGGCAACAAACTCCTTGTCTTTAGGCTATTCATCTTAGGCATCAAGGCAGAATAAACCATGGCCAATTACCAAACTTGCTTCCTTCCACTACTTGACCCATACAGTCCCGATTTAACTTTTCTCAGCGAACTGAAATTTGCGTAATTTCAGTAAAATCAGTAATTTCTGGAATGCCGTAATAATGCTATTTGTTAAACAGAACTGTTTTTAAATAGAACACCTAATATTATAGTTCTATATTAGCAAACTAATCCCAGGGATAGAGTGGGAGAGCATCCTGTAGAGAATGTGCAGGACTGAGAACTACAGAGAGTGACTGCAGCTCAAATCCTCTCTCCAGGTGGACAACACATCTTCATCAGTGTCACCATTCAGAAGGCTCTGCACAGAGGTGTACACATCATAAATAAAAACATTCTTCATGCTGACCTGCCACACAATGCATGAGAGTAGCAGAGCCATGCCTTCAGACACAAAGGTTTACTGATATTCAATCTTCTGCTTTGTAGAAGGCAGACTCAACATTTGGAATTGAATTCTAAATCCAAAGTAGGGAGTATGAACATATCCATGCTTCCTAACATTTTGTAGAAAGGTGACATGTGACTATGATTGTTCATGCCCAAAAACACAGAGGCTGTTAGAACACTGATACATGGTGAAAAAATACATAAATTGTTATTTATAAATTGCATCATTTAAGATGGCTACCAAAAAAAACCCCCAAAACCATAAGTTTTTCAAGAGCAGAAACCCTTATCAAGGACTTCTATTAACTCCAGAACTGTACTGTATTAAAATTTCTGCATTAGCAACTCAGTAATAGTTTACTGGAGGCTATTTCTAAATTTTTAAGAGGTGAAATAAAAATTTCCTATCACATTAATTAAAAATAGTAGCTGCAATTACTAAAATTTTCTAGTTCATTATACATGTCTAATAATTGAGCTTTGCTGCCTATCACAGATGAAATACCTAGACAAAAATCCTTCTTGAAGAGTACAACCATCTTTTAAATGGTACTTCAAAGCCACTGTAGCTTTATTAGCAGTAGCAACATTTGAAATAATTATCTACAAAAACAGTAGTACAGAATTATGTTCAATTTTCATAGAATTAGAGTATCATTAAGGTCTTCATTCAGTTTGGCCACAGCTATCCTTTTTTAGGCCTTTGTGAAGTCAAAGTTCCAAGATTTACTTCCTTCCAATTTCAGATTATAAACATACCTTACTGCAAGGTATTAGCATTACTTTGTCAATTCCACCACAAGAAAAAGGCAGGCTAATCTTAGGCAGTGAGAAACCACAAATATACAAGCTTTTCAATAAAATAAGTTTAATTGATTAAAAAACAGAATTTAAAAACCCCCACATTCTAAAGCATTAACTATAAAAGTTCAGTTATGTACTGATTTTTCTAAAAAGTGTTCCCATAAAGGAAGTTTTGGCAGTCCTAAGTGTTGCTTGCTTCTCAGCATTACACACAATCTCCAGCAAGGGGAGCCCATAACTCACACACACCTGAATTTCTATTTTTCACTCTTTCAAAGAATCAGTTTCTGCTTTTTGAATCCATGCTCAAGCCAGGTTATTAAGTAGTATTTGTTCCAAATTTTTTTTAAAATATTTTGCTGAGTGTCAACAAGTTAGATGAGTAATAGCTAATAACATAGTTAATAACATGCTCAACATACCACTGTCAAGGACAAACTTCCTGGCGAAAATTTTCATTTCTGCACTGAATTTCAGTGCACATTTCTCCACTATTGTAAATCAAGGAATTCAGTGTACTGAGTACTTAGTGTAACAATGTCATCCTTCAGGCAAACCACGAAATTATTTAACCTGACTCTAAATATAACAGACAAAAAGAAGGTTGGACTATGACAGGTGGAGCTGAAGTCAGGCTGCAAGTTCATAGTTACTTTTCTTTTTGATTGACTTATTCAGTCTATATTTAAGTAACAGAAATGCAACACCCCTAATTAAAAACAATATGCAGTTGTAAAAGCAGTTTCTGCTATAACACTCCAAGACAAACGCTAACATTTCCATTTGGCTTAAGATTTAAGAGTGACAGGAGGCTTCTATAATTTCCAAATGCACAAGCTAGTCTGTGCCCCTCCTTTCATTTAGAAGATTAAAACATTAAAAATATTAAAAATATAAGTAAACACAGATCAAATTCTGCACTGAGAGATGCACCTCTAGGTTTCTCTGTTATGCTATTCATCAGTGAAATGTTAACTTAGCTTCAGACCATCATGAACTAAATTCAGTTTTTTCAAGTCACCAGTATCAGAATTCTTATATTCCACACTCACTTCCCCTATGGAGTTGATTCCTTACATATGCTATCTTTTATGGTTTTATAATCAAGAACACTGAGGCAAATAGGAAATACTCTCAACTAAAGACATGAACTAAGAATGAAACACTCCCCGTTGAGAGGCTTCAGTCCTGAAGCCTTGGGTGGTACAAGTATGACTTCCAGAGTGGCACCTGAATAGTCAGACAGGAAAGTTTCGTTAACTGTAAGTTAAATGTTTGCATCATTCAATATTTGTGGTCTTGGTTTCAATCTGATTATTTTGAAAGTTTCGCAACCTTTTAATATCTTAACACCTTTCCATTTTAGGGCAACTGGCAAAACATGGCCCACTTTGCATATTGGTGCTGTGCCTCAGTGTATTTTGACAACAAACCCCTGGAGAAAAACAAAACAAAAGCAACAGTAACAAAAGTCCACTAATGTACCTGACCTTCACTGTGAACACATTATTAACAACAGTTTCTATTGGACAGAAATCACTATCTTTGCTTAGCTGATTGTTTCAGATTTGTTTCTTTATGGATTCTTCTATTATGCTAGTTATGCACCTGCACCAATAAATGTAGATGGAAGAAGGATATTTTAATAGTTAAGTAGCCTTCAAAAAATAATAAATAAAAAAATCCAGAAGGGAGAGCAGCAAAATTAACTGCTGTTTGAGTACAACTTTTACAGCTCTTGAAAATTAAGCAAGTAAATAAACCCACACTGAAAATAGTTCTTGGAATTAATATCATAGGAAAAGTTGTTTTGCCAGAGAAGAAGAGAGCGAAACTTCACTGTGACTTTTAACACTACATATTCCAGAGCAAATTAAAGTGCATCCTCTGAGGAATTTAGTCTTATAAACATCCCCTGCAGAGTATTGTCTTTTGTCCTTAGCCACGTGGGGCATTCACCACACATTCATGTTTCTGAAAACAAGTAAAGTAAGTTATATATGGAACACCTACCATTGTCACTGTCTCCTTCAGATGGGATACTGTAGCTAAAGTTGTCCCATGTTTGTGCCTGTGTAAGTGTGTTGAAGGAGATAGGAGGAAAACTGAGGGATGGGTCTGCTGGAGGGGAGTGATAACCAGTCCAACCATGGTGGTAATAAGGACCGGAGTGGGGATAAAAGTGGGCAGCAGCATTTCATATATGGCATTAGGATTGTATGGTAATGGCAAAGATGTAATTCAAAGGTGATTAATACAAAATGCATAAATTTTGAGAAAAGAATGAAAGATGGTGCAGAATAAAAAGAACGAAGAATTAAATGTTAGTACTTGCAAATCATACATCATATGTGCAGTTAAGGCTGTTAAGCTTAGCAAGATCATTGTAACCACAGCACTTCACACAACTTGTTACAACCAAGTTTTAAGAAAAAGTACCCATAGATTTTATTATAGCCTGATAAAAACCTTTACTCTGTGTCAGGAGGTAAATATACCAGCTGTCAAGTTTCAAGAAGGAAACTACCACAGAATCAGGATTTTTATATATTTGTGTAACTACGTAATAAGAACATTTCTCACAAAGAAAATTTACACATCCATATGAAAATATTATTACATTACAATTTCCCAGCTGATTTTGGAAGTAGCAACTATATTATCACTTGGATATCACTTCTCATTTTGTTGAAGGATGTTCAGTAAGTACATGTACCACAGGTGCTTTCCTTTAATTTTAATTCACTTAATAATTAATGAAGGGCTACCTTTTTCTTGCTAACTCCCCCAGCAATAAGTTCAAATCTACAATGGATCCACCACGTTATGTAAGTACTGGTCCTCCACAGCTTTCAGAGAGGCTTCCCAGGGACAAGAATAGGCATAGAATACCCCCAAAGGCTGATCCTGAGTTTGCACAACAAGCTTTGGCAAACTTGCACCACAGACAGTCTTCTAACAAACACAGCATCATTAATTATTCAATGTGGGTCCCTGAAGTACACAAAACTGTACATTTCCACAGAAGCTGCAACAGTCTGCAGACTATTCACCAGATGACAGTAAAAGCATATCATGTCTACAGTTCATGACCACTCATGAACTAAACTGGGGCAGCAATACAGCTCCTGTTCTCCCTATCCATTCTGCCTTCTCTCCTTTAACTAGTCACAACACCACCTGTTACTGATCCTTCTGTGGAAATTTTTTTCCTTCCCTACCACATCTACTCTGCACTTCTGTCTCTTGTCTGAATTGTGGCAAGGATTTCTCCCCAAGCTTTCCTCAAACCTCCATTCTACACTGTTTCAGAACTGGATACTGACACACTTAAAATATCTCCTTCCTGAATCTCTTCAGCATATCATCCATCCTTTCAAAGCTTCACACTGGTTTCCTATTTTCTGACAGAGATTTAAATGTCTTTTCTGCCTTTCACAGTGATGTTGCTCCTTAATGAACTCTTTCTGTATTTGATCACAATGTTCCTTTATCACTTCTGCAAAACAAAAAAAATTATTTCACTCATTTCTTGCCTTTCTACATGTATCCTCACATTTATCTACTGAATCCTACACACAAGCAACATTAATGTTCCTCAGACCAAACTAGAGGCTATAAACTACCTCTACTCTAAATGCTAAACCATAAACACAAATCAATTCAAGATTGCTGTGTAGATCTGAAAGCAACTAAAATCACCCAAATATTAGAAGAAAGCCCAAACAAAGTTTCAGTAAGCACAAGAAGTCTCTCTTTTCTAACATTCCCAACTAATATTCAGAAGGATCTTATTCATGTAGGATTTTTCCTTCCCACAATTTTGGAACCTGTATTAACATGATAGTAATTCAGACTGTGTCATATAAAACTTCACCTTAAACTTCTTTTCAGAGTTCCACAGCTCTCTCTCTTGCTCTCTCTTTAGACTTTCCCAAGGCTGGGTCACTGTTTCTGGCTATTGGGACACCAGTTGAACTTCAGAGTCAGCACAACAAACTCTGAGTCAACACCGGGGGGGTAACAGTACACAGATTTATGGCAAAAAGTAAACAGTCTGACTCTGGTAGCAATTGGGATTCTCAAGTATTTTTCAAAGTACACAGATAATGCAGTTAGGGAATAAAACAAGCTGAAGGAATAAATATCCAGAGATAGAAAGACAATAATGAGCAGTCAGATGAGAAAAAAATACTGCAAAGTTTTATTGATCATTTTATGTTCCAACTAACTTGAAATACAAGCATGTCCCAGCATAGCTACTAACATTGTGCTTCAAGGTCTCTACAAGCCACTCAAACTGAAGGCACTAGATTCACAAGTAATGTCACACTACATGAACAGTAGCAAGGGAACAACTTCTCACTTCAGAATACAAAGTGCTTTGTGACTTCGAGTTTTGTCAGTGCTTGCTTCAACCTCTGACAATAGAAATTTTTTTGTCTGTGTTGTTGTCACTTTTTTCAGCAGAAACTAAGAAATACAGTGACCTAGAAATGGCACAACACAAAGGAAAAACAACTCTTGATTGCAAGATGTATTAGAAGCTGTTCTGTCTGCTTCAAGCCAGACTTGAAGGTCTGGCATATTAAAGATAACACAAGACCTTGGCAACTCTCAATTTCAACAATTAGCACCACTTTGAACATTTTAATTAATTCATGGATGAAGAAGGGAGAATTTAAATTTATTTGCTATTTTGAGTGATTCCTTTTCAGAGAGCTAATGCACTTCCCAAGAGGAGAACTACAGCTCTAACAAAATTGCTTCTGTTCAATGGAATTTTTTCAAGGTTTTCAAAAATAATATGAATTTGAAAAGTCCATACTCTCTGCAAATATTTAAAATACAGAAGGAAATAATCTGAAAAATTTTTAAATTTTACATGCAATGTAAACTTCTGACCCTTGGAAAAAATCTTTCAAGAAATGTAAGCACATTCATTACCTTTCAAAATATTTTCTTTGGGTACTTTGGGTTCTTTCTGTCAGCCATCAGATATGAATTTTCCTGATGTTTTGCCTAGCTTAAAAATGAAAGTATAAAAGGACCTTTAGTCCTCAACACATATCAGTATGTACTAACACAGAAGTTTAAGCCACTGTGGTTTATCCTCTGGAAGCACTTATATTTGTGTGTGTACTTCAAAAAACTGGAATCTATACCACAAGTCTAGGACAGTTTACTTTCACCTTTCCAAGAGACATAAACCATTATGAAATGATGAGGAAGATGGAAATTCAAATAGAAAGCAACATTCATTTTAAATAGATGAAAATAAACACAGTGAAAATAAACTCTCCAATTTCAGAAAAAATACAGTTGCATATATTTTCATTGAAAATTTGCCACTATTTTTTCCACAGAGCATGGTGGACACATTTTAGTTAGAGCACTTCAATGTCCTTTTAATGTTGCACTTGGATTTAAGAGATTTATAGAGTCAATTAATTCATATGAAAGCTCTAACAAAATTAAACAGTTAGAACTCATTAGGACTATTTAACTTCATTAGAGCTTACATTTCCAGTAAGTTTTAACATTTCCCTGAAGGCCATTAAGAACTGAAATAAAAAAAACTATTAAAATATACTACAAACTAAGCTGAAAAACTTTCCTGGGTCACAGAAATGCTGGACCTCTTCACTAGCTCAGCTCTATGACAATAAAGCAGTGTACAATTAACAAGTACAAACTCCAGCCAGTGGTAGAATGGTTCAAATGCACAAAAGTTGTACAAAGTTTTAAAGGAAATACAATGAAGAAACTACAGACCTGCCAAGCAAACCAGCTTCAGAAGGAAAAACATGCAGGCTTCACAAACATGCCAGTATTCTCTGACATGTACTACTTCTACCTCTAAGTATTTCTTATGTGTTAGTAAAACAGCAGAAGATGAAACAATATGAAGCTTTACTATGCCTGTGCAAGGTTTCATTTTGCTACATGGTGCTACATAGCTAATATACTGTATTTTTATCTGAAACTGGACATAAAGTTTTACTATTGCCAAATACCCCTATCTTACAGGGTATAAATTTAAGGTAAGATGACTGAAGCTAGACATGATCAGGTGAGAAACTGTGCAGTAATGGGTTCCTCATATGGAAAAAAAAATAAATTCACATTATCAAGTTTAATGCAACCATAATGTGACCAAAAGATACCCCGGTACTGGCATGCTCAAAGATTTTAGAATGCATGAACTTCAATTTGTACAGTGCAGAAAATCAGCATGTTCTAACCAACTGACTTTGGTATTCAACGAGGCTACACAGAGCTGCAATATATAAAAAAGGATGAAGTGTAGGACTTGTGAACATCTGGTCTTGAATCAGGTGACTTGGAGATTTTGTTGCAAGCAGTGCAATCCAGTCTTTCTAGAAATTCTCTCAAAAAAATAATCACTAGGCTATTTCACCTGGACCTATTCTAGTCATGAAGTATAAGAAACTCAGGCACAGTATGCCAAGATTCAAAAGTGCACGTGAACAAGAAGTCACAGTCTTGCATATTCTTCCACAAAGCAACTTCCAATCCCCAGCAGATTTCACTGTGGGATCAGAGCACAGCCCACATCCTGTGAAAGCAACAACATGGCCCAGGCTCCTTTGCTTTTTTTCTCCTCATAGTGATATTGCAATATTGCCACTGGACTATGCAATATTACTCAATGTTTTATTTTCAACACATCCTGAAAGAACCCATTTGCTCATCATTTAATCTGTATTTTAAATTTATGTAGAAATATCAACATTTCTAAATGATCAGAAACAAGACAGACCAAGTTTAACATTCTAACAACCAAAGAAATGCAGTTGAACAGATCTGTCTAACTATATATCACAACTACATGAGAAACTTAAAGTATATTCCTTCACAAAAACAGCTTTCTAATACTTAAAAAAAAATAAACCAAACAACAAAAACCAACTAAATCTATGGGTACAATTTCATAAACCTTTTTGTGATGTTCCACCAGCAGTTTCACAAACTGCTGCCATTATTACCAAGTATTTTGCTATGGAAACTACAAGCTTGTAGGGCTTTACCATCACTTGATTAAAAGCATTTGTGGTGGATGAGAGAAACCAGAACTACAGTCTCAGTATGCTGAAACACATTGAAAACCTACAGCCACTCATTAGAGGCGATATGGCATGACTTAATATTGACTACCTCCACACAGAGAAGACAAAAACGGAATTAAATCATGTAGCTAATCCACTTTTTAAGGGAAGCTGTTACCAAGTCCTCAAATTCATCTCTAAGTTTGGGAGGTTTTTTTGTTGTTACTTGGTTTTAGGTTTAGTTTGTTTGTTTTCAAACAAACTGCTGCTTGTTAAAAGAGTGGTGGTTATGTAGATACCGTGCACTGCAAATTCACTGAACTCAGTTGCTGGCTGAAGTAAAGATGTAATCTTACCATAATGCTTGATCTTTACTCAAGCCTAACTACTGACAGACTCAATGCAGTGAAAAATTTTCAGAGCAACACAAATGTTTTCCAAAATAGCCTAATTATTCACACATATTATTGAACAAAATCTAAATTGTATCATCAGATGCCAATCAAGCAAAAAATCTTATTTCAATTAGTATGTCAGCACAGATGATAAATACGTATATGTATATAAAATATGTGTAGTTATATCCAAACACATTTTTAATACACATATAATTTTATAGAACACCCAATTTACTAGTAATGGATGAAAATTGATCCATATATAACGTGCCAAATAAATACTTCTTACAAATTCAATCTTTATTCAAAACTAGAGAACCTCAAAATCTTCTAAGCTTCTCCTAACCGTATGGAAAATGTTACATTGCTTACTTCTTAAGTGGGAGAAAAAGAGATATCTAATTATAACAGTGATGTAAAAAACCCCAAACCAGTACACACAAAACAGTTTCCCACATTACCTGATCGTGGCTTCAGGCCAAAAGGGATTGTGGTGTTTGTAGTAGGAGACCTTGTCGGACTTTTATCCTTATTCTGTGTAATTCCAGAACATACATCAAAGTTAGAATAACACCCAGAAAATATCACAGCATATCTGACCATGCAAAATGCAAAAATTAACACTACTGCATGCTATAACTATTCCCATAATCTGATCACAATATAGTCCCAAACCTATGATAATCTCCCTTTTTTATTGCACCCTATTTCTCTGGTAGAAAAGACTAGATTCTGACAAAAGACAGCAAGATATTCCCCCTAGTTATAAATAAGCTCAATTATTTATCAGTTTTCTCCCATGTCATCACTTGGTTCCATCAAACATACATTTTGTGGCAGAGTACATTTAAAAAACCAAAGCAAAGGCATGTTTTTTCCTTAGACACATTTGTTTCTTTCACAGAATTAATTACTACTCTGCATGGTAACACTGAATTTCTGCACTAAAAACAGAAAAGAGGAAATTAAGCTTATGCCTCAGAGTAGGATCTCCCCTGACCCTGAACTCAGTTAAGAGCTGCAGCAGGAAGAATGGGGCAGCATCATACCACCAATGGCAACACAGAAAGAGTCCTGCGACCAAACCCCATAATGGGAATCCTACTTAAAAAGTGATTCCACTGGGAGCTGGGAACTACAGAATTCCCATCACCAAGACTGGTGGATGGTGGCTGGGTGCTCACAAATTTGCAATATGCCTATGCCCAATGCAATACAGAGACAGAAGGCTTATTTCTGCACCAAAAAAAAAAAAGAAAGAAGGTAAATAATCTCCATAAGGAGCTACATGTGGTTTTTACCTTTTTGATCTTCCAACGAGAGTTACACTAGAAAGCTACAGGATCAATAAAATTAGATTCCTCTCTGATAACTAATCAAGGACAGGACACAACTGTGCAAAAAAGAAACTGCACTGAAATCAACAGAAAATCTTGTTGAACAAGGGAGAATTAAAAAAAGAAAAATTAAAAATTGTGTCTGAATGGAGAAAATGTAAAAAAAATTAAATGTTTTCTACTAAACTGCATAACTCTGAAACAAAATTATCAGAAAGCATATTTTTATACTCTAGAAAATCTTTGAGATGACAAGATTAAACCACATGCCAAGCAAACCACATATTCATTTCTGATGCAAATCTCAGCCATATGTTCTGTGGAATTCAGCTGTATTTTATTTAGTCTATGAAACATTAATATAAAACATACAAGAAACAAACAAATGACATTTACCTCATTGTGAGAGGTTTGCCCACTTGTGTTCCAAACAATTAGATCATTCTGCATATTTGGAAAGCAAAAAAAAAAAAGAAGAAAAGACAAAAAACATTTCAGAACCTATATTAGTGATACACTGCAATGGGAAATTTTACTAATTATAGTCAGATATACATTAATACTTTATTATTTTTTTCACTGAAATAAGTAATTTGCATGAATCATAAATGCTTCTATTGCCAGCTGAAGAACTTTTCTTAAAAGCATGTGGAAACAATTCACACAGATTTGTCATAAATTTTTTGCTTCAATACTAAGAGATTATAAGTACTTTTTAAAGATTTTAATGTTTGTTGCTTAAAATGCCAATTTTAATTGAACTATCACGAAGGTTTCATTTGCAAATACAGATTATTTCAAATACAGATTTGAAGAGAGATATTCTGTAAACAATTACATTTATAATTACAACATAACATACCTTTTGTTACCACTTCTGTTATAGTTACATAGGAAACATGTACACCACATTGATAAATATGAAACAAAATTATTAATTCAGCAGTGGTCGTAACTCAGCAGAAAGACAACTGGCATAAGTAAAAGTAAATTATAATTCAATCCAAAACAACTTCCCTAGTATCAATTTTTTTTTAATTGACAAAACATGGAAACACAAGAGAGCACTTGGAACATTAGGTCCCAACAATCACAGAGCTTTATCACAGTAGTATTTGATATTATGATTATACATACAAATATTTGAAAAGCATCAAGATATATTAAAAAAAAAAACCACCACCTATTTCTGGATAGAACAGACAATATTAAGGTACTGCCAATATAGACAGCATCTTCTGTAATTTTCTTCTCACAATCTCCTTATTTAAGGCTTTTTTGTAGCTTTACATTTCTGAATCATTACAATGTACAAATCTTCAAATATTTTTGAAACTTTAAAAACTATCATCTCAACCAATATACAGTCTTTTTGCAATATTAAATACAATAACAAAAAAACTGCTGTTAACATAAACTTAGAAACTTACATAACTACAAAAGAGTATTTGGGGTAAGGGGAGAAAAGGAGTCAGGTACTCCATTTTCCTGAAGATCAAACTTTGAGATGACATTATTTTCAGGGGAATGCAACCCCTGCAACTACTATGCTTTTATTGGATATAATTGTTATATAAGTTCTTTCCAAAGGGATAGGTCTTAATCAACTTTCCATTTACAGTCAAACCTTGAGATTCATGCTAAGGCAAAAAAAAGCCCAATCCCCACACTGGGCCTAAACCCATTATCCCCACATACAAATTGAGAGAATGCAATGATCCATTCCAAATGTTTCCACATTTATTGCATCTGGACACTTCCATACCTGGCTCAATGACCATTTTTCACCCTGTTCACAAGGTCTTGCTTCAGGCTTTGCTTTCTCCATAATCAACTCCCTCCTCCTCTGGAATTCCAGTTCCTCTTCAGCATTTTCTCTCTGTAAGAGAAATAACTCTTCTGTCTGTACTACTGGAAATAGATTTTTTTTTTGGCATAGCATTACCTTGAAGTATTTATTACAAATAGTGTGATGAAAAGCAGACAGAAAAGCAAGTAGATACTATGTAAGAGCAGTTCCAGCACTAACAGGTGGATAAGGTAAATCTAAACCAACTACTTCATAATAAACATCATTTCACCAGACAGGATATAGAACAAATAATAAGCAACATATATCACACTGTAAAACTCAAACCCCTTACTTTAACTATACTCTCTGCAACTATAGTGACAGTAGTCTGGAAAACCACTAATTTTTATTTTACAAATTATTTTGGGGTTATTCTTAATGAATATACTACGGTTTTCCTACACCAAAAGGTGGAGATTTGGTGGGAGGGGGGATCTAATGGTAGCTGAAGATGCATAGCTGAACTGACATACAGGGAGACAGAGTGGGGAAACTAAAATGAAAAAGCAACAGATAAACACAGAAAACCTTCACATATAGAGACACACACACACACAGACAAAAATAAACAAACCTCACAACAATTCCATAAATTAGCTTTGCCCTTCAGCCTACTTACTTTATACCTTCCCTACTTGGCAGATTACCAATTGAAATTGAAATTGTGGGCTCATTTTCTGTCTTTCCCCCCCCCAGAATATTTTGTAATTATACACTCATTTAACATACCTGACCAAGAGAAGACATGTCCATCTGTATTTGACCACTACGTATAAAGACAAAGGCAAATATGTAATTCATTGTGTAGCAACTTGAACATGATGCATCTAACAAATTTTTTTTTTTTCTAAAGAAGGTATATAAACACACTTTACTGTAGACTCATGAAATTCTAAAACTGTTGCTGGTTCTATAGGATACAGATTCACAGCACTGATCTCTGAAATACCCATGCTTAATCTGCAAGGTTTGAAATAAATTCATTGTACTGGACTATAACTTTGGCAACCATTATGTTCAATATTTAATTACAAAGAAATATATACAAGAAATACTTTTATAGTTATCATTTTAACCTGTTCAGTGTCATCTCTTAAGAGCTTCTGGAAATGCCTCCTGATGCTTCAGTTCAGTCTGAAGCATCATTCATGGTTTCACTTGCAAAGTACCACCCTGAGCAATGGTTTGTATCAAAACAAAAGGACCTGTTTATTACCAAAACCCATGTTGTTATCTAGAAGCCTACAGATTTCTGTATCCAATCTCTAGCATTCAGAATTCAAATGGAAGCCACAGCCCTGCCCAGATATTTCCACTTAATTTACAGTGGCTGAAAACAAAGCAGTGAAACAGAAAATGAAAGCAAGCAGGAAATATAGGAAGGCAAATATAGAAATACAATGCAAACATCAAAAATACTGAAAAAGGTTGGATTTGAAGTCTCTTCCCAGAAACAAAATGCTGTCTATGTGTAATAGGGTATGCAGATTTTAAATTCTGCAGAACATTGGAAACAGTGTCCTGCAGAACAGTAACTGGACAAGCATTTAACCAGTTTAATAACTGCACCCACTAGCAAAAACAGCTTGAAAGAATTCCAGTCAGTGCACATTAAGCACACCAGAATCACCAATTGCTCCAGCCCCTACAGTGTTTTCTCCAAAAGGGCCTTCAGTGTGAGATAAGGATGGTCCTGCATAGAATTAGTTATTTCAACCAGGTTACCTTGACCAGGCCACCAGAGTTATATGGATGCACAAAGGAAACTGGAAGAAGTTACAGTTGCTGACATGCTCTAAATTTAAGTTAAAAGCAAATACAAATTTTGTACATCTTAAAAATATGGAGCAACAAAAGCATTTACATTCCTTTCTAGACATAAAACTTCTTGAGTATGAGAAAAATACGAAATGCCATAAAATCCAAGAATTATTTTAAAAAAATTATGAGGAACCCATGGCTCAGAGGACTGAAGGTCTATGGCATCATTTGACAAGTATTGGGTACTCAAAGGTATCTTGCTGCTTAGGACTGGATGCTAATACACAGGAGGTGTACATTCAAAAGCCTATAAGGCACTCAGAAAATTAAATATAAATGCTCACATTTTAAGGTTAGAAAAAGAAAGTGCAGCCACAAACCCCCCCAACATGCTGTAAAAACAAGAGTAGAGAAATACAGAAATACATGACATGATTCGGCACCTCAAAGTAAATTTTTGAAATTTACTGTAGTATTACTAATGAAAGCATATCTGTGTGTAAACAAAAACCAGATTTTCTGTATTTTATTGACCTTCTTAATTTAACAGAAGTACTAAATATGTAGGAAATATTAAGGCAATGTCTGAACAAAAAAACCCCAAAATTACTAAATTTATCAGGCTAACAATTGAAATATTTCTGCTGGTGTTTTTTCCAAAACAAACGCTTTCCTTTTTTAACTGCAAGACTCTTATGAGAAAGTAATAAGCCTCATCTGAGATGCAGAAAAAATGGTACTAGGAAGCTAAAGAAAATTCCTAAATGTTTATTTCCTAATTTTTTATTTTCTTAAGCAAAAATATTTTTGATTCAAGTATTTAGTGTATGATTCAAACACTCAAGTATTCTTTACATGATGCAAAATAAACCAGTTAATTGTCTCTTTAGAAATACTATCAGGAATCAACTTCTGTCCTAAAAGTACAAAAGTCTACTAGGTGAAAAAGCAGTTCAAAACAGGCATTTAAAGTGAAGAACAGTGTAGTCACAAAAGCAAGTAGCTATCAAGGGAGGAAAGAGAACCAAGCATACTTAAGGCTGAAGCGACAAGGAGGTTTTCCAATCTTCAGATAAAGGAAGCTGCAAACCAGCTACTTCATAGAAGTAAGAATTAAAATGAGTTTTGAAATGAACTTAATTTCTGAAGGTGATTACACTAAGAAAAGCAATAGCAAGCATCCAGACAGACAGAACTACAGGTACCACTATTGTCATACTTCTCCAGTAGGGCAATCATTTGCTTTCTTCTAAATGCTTATTCTTTTGTTTAGCCACAGTTCCAGAGCCATTCTACGTGACTTTGGCCACTTAAAATGGGCATCAAAATTATAAAAGCTTGTCTTTTGTAGTCAAGAGAAACATAAATAACTTTCTTTGCCTCTTCCTCCTTTGGATTTCAGAAAACTAAAGAAACTCCACCACTAATTCAGGCACCTCCTTTAGGTGCTTCATTGAATTGGCATGAAGATGAGCCAGAAGCTCTTCTCATTCCAACAATATATACCAAGCATGAGTAAGAGGAAAATTTATAGTCCCTAAAAGAAATGTGACAATCCTAGACAAAACTTCAGATAATCACAGTAGTGTGCATGAGATGAATGGTTAAGGGGTGTCCTCGCCTCTGGTTTCTTTGGTCCCTTCTTAATTTACTGGGAATCTTGTCTAGATACTCGAGAGAGAATTTGAGTTTCCTTCTTAACTACCTTGCACACACTGGTATGCTAATAAAGCACTTGCTAACTCCAGAGAGCTTTCAGTTGTCAGTTAAAAGAAAACTCTAATGTAATTCATAAAAAAAATAAAATATATTACATTATATTATTATACTACTATATATCAGCTACTGTAAGCATACCTGTTGGAATCCTGTAATAAATCTACAGCTTCTCTTAGTTGTTCTATCATTGCTATATCAATAGTTTGTTCTTCTGATAAATTTATTCTATAACAGAAAACAAAAACATTCAAAAAAAGGTACAACAGCAATTATCAAGGGTAGTCTGAATTTCAATGTGAGATGTCTACCTTCCAACTGGCATGCAAATACTACAGGGAGAAAAACAGCCTCTCTGCACACTGGGATGTGCTGTATTTAAGGAAAGAGCTCCTTCTGAAAAAAATTTTCCAACACTTTGTCCTTAACAAAGCCTCCCAGCCTAATACATATATAAATAAATGCGATGAAGCTAAAACTTTTAGCATTGAATTAAACAGAATGACTTCTTAAAGTTGAGCATTTATTTACCATTTAGCATTTATTTATGAGTGCTCTTAAAGGCACTCATCCCATGTATTGTTTCAGCACAAATAGTAAATACAATGAGTTTTAATATAGGCCAGCCTGCTTTCTTTTGCTTTTCAACATTTATAGTTCTTTTTGGGGATTAGAAATATAACCTCCCATTAGTTCTGCCAGTAAGGCTCTTTCAGAAAATATTCATTCTTTCCTCCCTTCAGGTTTGGGTCTTTTTTTAATACTATGTAGGACTACACTGTTCTGATGAGTGACAACTTCACAGTACAGTCATGTTGAATTTCCTTTCCTTATGCACTTAGCAACTGATGCTTATTTGTTCTACTCTGGAATTAATATCTATAAACTAATGATTGCTTCAAGGTTAAAATTATGACAAGTAAGAAAAAGAATAAGATATGTTTTCTAATTAAATTGATTTTTTAAATGTACATTAAATTTAGATCTTGCAAGTTTTGATTATCTTTTTTCAGCAATGCCTTTAATAAACAAAATAAGTACATATTAAAAAGGACTGCATTCTACATAGATAAAAAGTTATTGGGGAATACAAATTAATTAGCTGTAATATAACATCCACTCTATTTACCAATAAAATGTAAAATACTGAGCACACACAAAATGCAAAGTTGCTATTGTCTTGCCTCCAAATCTGCAGAATTATTAAACAGCAAAGTCATACCAGTCCTGGTCAAACTAATTAAAAGACATAGCTAATAATTAATAGATACATAAAATATACTCACATTTCGTCTGCTTGCCATTGCGTGTCCTCTTCTATTCTCAGTAATTCATCACACTCTGCTGCTCTGCTCTGTAAGCAGACAAAAGTGATAATGAGACCTGAACTTGGCAATTAAGTAGGCAGATAAATTTGCTTTCTGACTTAGCACTGACCTAATTTATGTAACATTTTAGGCTGTCTGGTTGAAGCAATCCAACACTTCTGCTCTATTCCTTACTCTACCCCCTTCTAAGATACTGATTACAAGATCTTCTATTCAGAAGATTTTATTGAGGTCAACAGCCCTTAGTCTCTCTTAACTGTGAAAAGAAAGTCAAGCAGCATAATAATTCTTTGTTCTATGTCCCAGATTCCATTTGTGACTTTCTGGCACATAGAAACAATGCTTCAGTTAAGCACGATCCCAACTCTCCTTCTCCTCGCTCTCCTACTGCAGCCAGATTTGTTTTCAAAGCAAGGAAATTCCAAACATGCAAACAGTGGCAATTACATACTTCATGCATAATTATTAACAGGATTCATATTTTACAGTTTTGACAGCCATGAATCATTTCTTTTTTAAAGAGAACAAATTGGAACAAAAGTTGCATCCAGGAATTCCTATCAGTCAGCCAGTTATTTTGGGTTCAATGTAGCCAAATTAGATCACCCACACCTATAAACATGAAGTGCTACTTATTTGAAAACCTGAATCTTTTTTATGCTTCCACTTGGTATTTAGCAGCTCCTTCATCTCAGTCAGGAGCACTGAAGTAGTTCAGCTGCCAGTAAAGACAGAAGCTCTCTGAATGAATATGTATTTGTATTTCTAGAGAAAAACCAGCAGAAAACAGAGGCTTATCCTCCTTTGTGCCATGTGTTTGGCACATCAGTTGCATCACCCTGTACCAATAAATTCTGCCCAATTCTGCTGTATGTGACACTGAAGACTGTACCAGCTTCTCTAACACTCTCCAATGATGGCTCATTTCCTAGTGACAATCCCTAGCAGAATGAATAAAGTCATTCTTTTTCATCTTTCTTCACCTTACAGGAACAAAGACCATGATGTTTTCCTGCAACAAGGGTACATACCATAATACAACAAAAATGCAGCACTGATTCTAGAAGGTGATTTGATATAATTTGTCTTTAAGGATCTCTCAAATGCTACTATAATGCTTCTAAAATTGAGAAAATGTATTTTAATACCATAACATTATTTCAAAACTTTAGCCACCACAGCTAGGACAAAGTCATCTCTCATTTCAGCAATGAAACTAACACAATAAATCACTCAATTCAAAATATAAAGCAAATAGCACAGAAAAAACCTGCCATTTTCCTTAAAGCCTTAAACATAGTTAAAGGATAACTCTCACCTGTTGGAGAGTTTTTCAAGAATGGCTTAAAGAGAAAGGCCATGAGACATACAATTGAGAGAAAAGTAAGAGGTAAAAGTAAAAGCAGTTTCTAACAGCTCTCAGCCTTCTGATTAGTGTAAACAATTAGACTCTCTCAGGCATCATTCTATAAACAATAAAGTTCTCAGCTTGTCTTCCCATGGCAAGCAGAACACCGTCCTTGGGAAGGCCTGTTATCCTGAGAACAGATGTAGAGGTTTTGGGAACACTAGTTTCTGTTTTAGTTTCTGGTTTCTGTTTTGGTTTCTGTTTTTAATAAACAATTGTAGGTATTCTAAAACAAAGGGAGTGGTTAGAAGTTTCTCTGTTAGCCTATCATGACATTGGATTACAGAATATTCATGGCGTTCGTTAGCACTGTTATTTAAGGTGATTGATTGATCAATAAAGTTGGAGTTCGATGCATTACCAGGATGGTCGTTCTCCCCTTCACTTCAATATATGGTGACCCCGACGTGATAGCGAACACCACGGGGAAGCGAACGCCACGCGAAGTGAAGACAGGTTCGGGTTCCGTAAGATCGAAACTGCAGCCGGAACGGCGAAGAAGCGCGGAGGACAAAGCGGAGGGTAACCCGCCGGCCCGCGCCGCGCTGCGAGCGACTATACAGATAGGCTCGTCCGAGACATGCGGCCGCGACCTTGATTTGAAGAGCTGCAACGTGCGCACATAGGTATGGAAAGGCAAGCCGCATATGAACTTTTTATTACCCTTTTGCAAAAACGGCAAATTAAGGGAATAGATTTACAGAAAGAGTTACCAGGCCTTTTAGCGTATGGCCTAGAAAAGGGGATCTTTATAAATCCTCATACAGTTCACAGATTGTTGGAGTGGCGTAAATTTGGTGATTTATTGTGGCAGGCTACGTTAGATGATGATAAAACTGCTAAGAAGTGGGGTAAATTATGGCGGGTCGTTAACACTGAGCTTTTGCAAATTCAAGCTGAAAAAAGGGCTGCTTATCAAGCCACTGCTGCCCACGATCGTAACAAACATTACGATCAAGATAGGGAATTTGATAAGAACGCGGGAATTCCTCTTGGTCCCGCGACGCGGACAGTTTTATTACCTGCTTCACCGCCTCCCTCGGAAAGCCAGGCTATGAGTCACACTATGAGCCAGGCGCAGTCCGCCTCGCTGCCCGCCGCGCAGCCCCCCCTAACGAGCCAAGCTCCGCGGGGTGCCCTGTTGTCTGCTTTGCCGCAGGCTACACAGAGCACCTCTGACTCTCCCGTACCTGCTGCGTCTCAGCAGCTGGGGCCAGATACGTGTACTCCGTTCCCGATAAGCGATCAGCCGGTCCCTGGGTCGGAAATCGGCTTGGCGGCGGCGATTGCGAGGGAAAGACGGGACGCGTGGGCTGCCTTGGCCAAAGATGCAATTGACAAGGGAGATCAAGAGCTGATAAGTTCGGCTCGAGAATTGGCTTGTCCGGTTGTCTTTAACCCCCAGCCTGGAGGAGGTTTTCAAGCCACAATTAGCGCTCTTGACTGGAAGCTGTTATCTCAGTTGCGAGCTACTGTTAGTCAGTTTGGCTTTAAGAGTGAACCAGCTAAGCAAATGCTCGATTATATTTTTGACACCAGTATCCTTCTTGTTAATGATTGTCGTGGGATAGTTAAATTAATCTTTACCCACCATCAACAATTGCTGTTTAATGATCATTGGCGGATACTTGTCAGTGAGTGTGTGGTAGTTCAAAGACAGTCGGGTGACCCCTTGCATGGTATCACTATAAATGAGCTTATGGGGCTGGGGCCTTTTCTTCGTACTGATGCACAAGCTTTAATAGGTCCAGAAAAGTGCCGGGAGGCAATGCGGTTAGTCAGACTCGCGATAGATAAGGTAAAGGAACCAGGAGGGATACCAGTGTATATGGGAATTAAGCAAGGCAAAGATGAGACATTTGATGCTTTTGTTGGTAGAGCTGCGGCTGCAATTAAGAGAGCAGGCGTGCCAGAATATTTGCGCGAGGTCCAACTCAGGCAGTGTGTCCTTCAAAATTGTAATTCTGCTACTAGAAACATACTTAATGCTTTAGGTGCGGATTGGACTGTAGAGGAAGCATTAAAGGGGATGGCTCTTATACCAACCAGACAACAGGCTCTCGTAGTAGACGCAATAAAACAGATAGGAATAGGCTTGCAAGAACAGGCAAGGTCCTCTCAGAGTCAGGTGTTAGCCGCTTTTGCACCTCTTCAAACGTCCGCTGCGTTTGCAACATCAAATAAAGAGGGCCGCACGAAATGCTGCGAAGGCACGGGCCGCTTGCGCCGGGAATGCCAAGCACCGAAGAAGCCGCCGCCGCAGGAGCCGAGCCGCGCCGCCCCGAGAGCGGAGCCGCCGCCGCAGAAACCAAGCCGCGCCGCGCCGGAAGTGAACAAAGAGCGCCGCGGGGGGAGCGACCGGAGCCGCATCGCCCTCATGTGTGAACTGGGGGCCAGATGTCCACGGGCGGCTAGTTGCTGCTTGGGAACAGTGACTGGACATCAGAGAGCAGGTGATGGAGGAGCAATCATGCTGTGCATTGATAGTTTTCGTCCTGCACACTCCTCAGCGGATTCCGACTTCAGAGTGCTTTTTCGAGCGGGAGCGTTTCTCCCTCTGCCCCGTAGCCGGCAAAAGCTACAGTTTAAGATCTAACAGCCGTAATAACTGTGACTCTTGTCAACAAAAGAAAAGATTCCTATTGCAATTAAAAGATTAGTGAAACTAAACAAGCGACACCAAGGACTATTGCTGTCAGGATGTTTTTCACCTAAGTTAGTAAAGATCTTTTGTTCTCCCCAGCACAGACTGTAAAGCAGAAATCAGCGTAAAGGCCGATTTGGCTCGGCATTGGTTATGCTGTCTTGGAAACATCTGTATTACCAGAGACTTTGAACATCAGAAGCCCGGATGGCTGGGCCGGTGGAACATTAGACTTTAAAGCTGTGTTTTGAAAAGTTTAAAAATGTTAAGATGTGTTGGATTGATTGTATGAGTGAGATGTTGTGAGTGTGTTTTTTGGTATAAATGCTGCAGCAAAGACGTGAGAAAGGTTGTTTTGGTTGAGTGTTTTGGAGTCGGGCCCGTGAGTGAGTTATAGTGAATGCCATATATTATTTCTATAGTAAGTTTTATCTGTTATTAAGTAGTTTAAGTTGGGTTATCAATTAAGTGCCATTAAATGTTAAGGTTAAGTTTGTTGAGCTTGTTTTCGGTTGGGTTCGAGGTCTTTTAAGTTTAAATTATATATAGGTTTGAGTTGTGTGGGATTTAAAGAAAATTAAATTTTGTTAAGTATTATTAAGTAAGTTAAGTTAGATTCTGTTAAGTTTGAATTAGATTTAAGTGATTTTACATGATTTGCAAATAAGTCTGTTAAGTTAAATATTTTAAGTGCCTTAAATGCATACTATCTTTTCACCACTCCAAATTAACAAAGGACTGAGAATCTCCCAGTTGATGCCATTTGAGCCAAATGACTAAAGGATTACAGACTGAAAACTGACTTTGAACCTTTCTGAGAGACCCATGAAAAAAGGTGGATGTGATAACTTCAAGGACAGAAAGAATCATTTTCAGGCTTGTTTACGTCTCTCCAGGTTGCATGAATGAAAACAGTTAACAGCTTTCTTTTCTTAGTCCAATTACCACCTGTTGTGCAATGCCTGATAAGGCCTTAACACGCCGTTGCCGAACGACCAGAGAACTGATTGACATTATTATCATCTTTACATATACGAGGACTGGCAAAAGAGGACTGTCTTGAATGTCACAGCCCAAATTGTGCTGCTTGGGTTGCACTGTGTTGTGGGGGTTGTGATCAGTTGTTACTTTTTCATTTATGGTGCCACACCTGTAATTATAGGCACATCTGGGAACATAATTGGGAGCAGGCACTACGGAATTAGACAAGGCTAAACACTGCTTCATCTTCAGACCTTTATAAATCTCATGAGCAAAAATCTTAGCTTATTATCAGTGGGAGGTACAGTGTATTTTGAAAAGGGGTTAAAGCTCAAAGTACATCATATATAGCCTCAATAAGGTGTAGAAAACTGGTGCCTTTAACACAACATTCTGTTGTAGGCCCTATAAGAAGAGATCCCAATCAAGCATTAAATAATTGCAGTTCAGCTTTGATTACTCTAATTTCCAAAGGATGAGTCAGCATAAACAGACATGGGCTACTCTGGATTCATCTCTAAACCTGGAAATAGTGTCCAAACAGCTTTATAACCAGTGTAAAGGCTCTACTATTATGACACCTAGGAAATTACCCACAGGAATATTTCTAATTTGTGGAGATAGAGCCTGGAATGGAATACCAGCCCAAGTGCAGGGTGGATCTTGTTATTTAAGCAAGTTATCATTATTCCACCTCTGAGCACTGGTTCTGATCCTTCTCCACAGGATCACATTTCTGACACTGAGTGTCCTGTTTATCCTCAGGCCTTTGGTGCAGCTGAGCCCTGGCAGAGCGGGGTCTGCACTTTTGGAGTTTGTTACGAGGCCCATACGAAGCTACTCTGAAGTTTAAAGTGTTGCCAAGCACAGTGGATGAGTTCCCTTCTCTTTTCTTTGCCCCTGATAGTGAACAGGAGAACCTGGCAAACTAACCTCTTTTCTCTCAAAGAAAAAACAGGGGAAATGTTGGAGAGTTTTTCAAGAATGGCTTAAAGAGAAAGGCCATGAGACATACAATTGAGAGAAAAGTAAGAGGTAAAAGTAAAAGCAGTTTCTAACAGCTCTCAGCCTTCTGATTAGTGTAAACAATTAGACTCTCTCAGGCATCATTCTATAAACAATAAAGTTCTCAGCTTGTCTTCCCATGGCAAGCAGAACACCGTCCTTGGGAAGGCCTGTTATCCTGAGAACAGATGTAGAGGTTTTGGGAACACTAGTTTCTGTTTTAGTTTCTGGTTTCTGTTTTGGTTTCTGTTTTTAATAAACAATTGTAGGTATTCTAAAACAAAGGGAGTGGTTAGAAGTTTCTCTGTTAGCCTATCATGACATTGGATTACAGAATATTCATGGCGTTCGTTAGCACTGTTATTTAAGGTGATTGATTGATCAATAAAGTTGGAGTTCGATGCATTACCAGGATGGTCGTTCTCCCCTTCACTTCAATACTCACCTATCCTAAAAAAGTTCTGGGTAAATTGTCCTAGATCAATTGTAATAATTTTAAACTTACCTGCCTATTTTTGCTTTCTGTATTTTTAGAACAATTACTATCATCTGCATCTCTTATTCATTAAAATACCTGCTGTTTATCGTTCCTGTTTACTCTGCACTTACCAAAGTAGCAGAAATATTTTCTCCACTTAACATTGTGATAAACTTGCCTTAATGTAGCTCATAAATTCAGTAGTAAGAGTATCCTGTTCATCAAACTGGTTTCCTGTTTCTCGTGACTTATCATTGACAAACGTGTGAGCAGATCCTTGATGGAATTCCACTAGGAACAGCAATGAAAAAAAAAATTAGAAGAACGATTTCAAAAATGAAGTTTAAATTCACATTAAAAATTTCAAACAGGTTAAGATCCTGTCATTGTAAACAGTGATGCCAATTTCTAACTTGTAATAAATCCATTTCCTGGGCATATACAGTTGTATATCAGAAGCACCAAAGCAGGCATTGAAGGAGCCAGTTTTGAACTACACCAAGTCTGTCTTGCCAGTAGCAATACAACAACACAGCTGGACAGCTGTGCAGTGTTTTAAGAAATTCAGATGTCTTAGGCAGTGACTTGCAATTGAATGCAATTTCAGAGTTACCATGCTGTGACAAACCAAACACCCAGCAAAATTAGTTAGAGCCTGTCCCAATCTTTTCCCTATGTATACTATTTCCAAGGATATGAAGCTGTGATTTACCCTCTCCAGTTTGCTAATAAACACTGTAGGATAAAATCCTATTAACGCTCTTCATATTTTACCAAATTCTGATGAGTTCTCCATGGAACTTCATTAAAGTGGGTAACAATGAGGGTATGCCATCTCCTATTCATGTGGTTTCCCTATGCAGCTTGCTGACTTCATCCTGCCATATATCATTAGTATGTGCAGAACTTGGAGAACCACTGTTTATCTATCAGTATGTAGTGTAATTTAGAAAAACACAAGTTACTTTAAAAAAATTGGATAAAATTAGATCTCTCACAGAATACAAATAAATTTACTTGTTTCCAGAAGTGATACTGACTGACTAAAAAAGCTTTATATATACACTAAGTCCAGCTATAGAAATAGACTCCATTATTGCACTTTGCTAAATTACTGAACACTGATATTAGCTGAAGGATAGTACGGCTCAAACCAACTTTAACTTTTTTCCCCCCAGTCAGAATCAGATCTTATTAATTCTTCAGACAACGTGCAGCGAGTTTTTTGGAACTGTTGTTGAAAATTACTAGACAGACTCAACTCAGTATAGTAAAGATTTTCTAAGTAACATACGTTTTTTCATTTTTACACAACTGTATTTGCATGCTCAAAGCCTTCTGGGTAAGTAGGCAGGCATGGAATCAACAACAGAATTTCCCTGTATTTAACTTCCATGTTTTCTACATTCCAACCTTTTCTTGAGTTAGCATGGTGACCTGAATCATCCTTTATAATATGATCTTCTTCCACAATGTCCGACATTGGAACATTAAAGCTGATAGTATCTTCATCAGATGGCTAGGAAAAAGCAAGAGAAACACTAGTCCAAGCTCAAACCAAGAATGATAAAAATGTACATGTTAACAAGATTGCTCACCAAAGAGCTGCAAATTAAGATGGAACAGGATACTAGAGCACCTAACATGACCACATCCTGTTGTAAGAAGTTATAGTCACGCTGAATATATCCTCACATTAGGTTTGCCAAGTAGAATAATTCACATGTCCTCCTTTCCTGTCTTACTCATGGCACTAGTCCTCTCCTTGCACTGACACCACTGCACTGTGCTGCTCTCTGTGGTTCCCTGGAGCAGCTGAAAACTACAAGGGCCTCCTTGCAGCCACGAAAATCTGCAGAAACACTGAGCCTCATATCACAGCCCTTTTTTTCCTTTCTTTCCATGACTCTTCTTCCCTGCTTTACCATGCAGCTTCTGAACTGAATGCCTACAGCAAGCAAGATCAACATCAAGGAAGGCACCATCTTCAATTATGTTAACTGACAGAGCTGGGGAAAAAAAAGCATAGACTCTCAAGTACACTAGCTTTTTCTGACCTAAAAGCTCACCCATTTTTTCAGCTCTATTGGCTGGTACACTAAAACACTGACTTGTATCTAACAAACTTATCCTGTCTAAGATTTTACAGATAGCAGCTGCACAGGGAAGCACAGACACAATTCTGCTCTAAGCCACTATGGCTCTGTTTCTCTGCCGGGGCAGCAGTGACCTGCTCAAGTGGAACCTGCTCACATCCTCTCCTGAGGTGAGCTAGAGCAAAACCACAGTCTGCAGGAGAGGCCAAGTTTTTATTCTTGCTCCTCAGAGACAGAGAACTTACCACCACAACAGTCTCAGAACTTTGCAAATGTATTTTCCAGAAAGTCCATGAGTATTGCTCATTCTTTAAATGCCCTGTGTTTCTGTAACTTGCTGCTCTGTGCATACATTTTCCACACATGTATTCTGTAATTATAACTTACATAATACAAATAGCACTCTGCTCCATATCCTTAAAAGATATATATTTTAAGGAAATTATATTCCCCATTTTATCAGTTCAGACTGTAACAAAAAAGATCTGTAATGAAATGTGTTACATATAATCAGTTATTTAATTCTCACTAGCTTCTAGTAGAAGTTTGCCATTCCTGCTACTTTTAGATGTTCATAATCTATGTAGAAAGTATTTTTTCTAACTCCTGAAGCTAAAGTTTGTGATAAAGGATGAAGCAAATCCACCTTGCTCCTAAAAACTCAAAGATACACGTGGTTATTCCTATTTTCCAAGTACACATTGGACCCAAAACACGTAAACATGGACAATGATGAATGTTCTTTCTGATGAATAAACGACATGCTATTAACTCTATCAATTCACTGGCTGTACTCTTCAGCTTAAGGAGGAAAAAAGGGTGTTCGGGGACTTCATAAAGCTTTTTTAAAAATAAATTTTAAATTTTAAAATTAGTGATATTTTAAAATGAAGCTCCAACAGAAAATAAATGACGCTCCAAGTAATCTAAGCACAAAAGCCTTTTAGATCTGAAGCAATGACAATCCAACAACTTTAAAAAAATAGAAATAAGATAGGTACAATATAAATTCATTCAGACAACCAAGGTTACAGCGAAGTTCCTTCTCTTTCAGGATGTATCTCATATGACATTTTAAGTACTAAATTTGATTATTCTTGATCAAAGTTGATGCTGTGTTAATTTTGAAAATAGTACACTAAAATGTTCTTACACACTTTATTAGAAGTTCTGGATCCAAAACAAGTACAATATTTTTTCTTACCAGCATAACACACACTTGGAGGAAAATATTTTGGAGTGTTGGCATAAAAAAAGGAACTGACCATTCAATTTGGAAACAAATTCCTTTCAGGACCGACAGAATTCTGCAACTTATTTTCCACCACTGTACTATGAAACAAAAACTATCCAAAGCAGCCTTGGATAATACAAAAGTATCACTCCTTCACAGGTGAAATACTGTTTCCAAGTTCCTTCTTCTACAGTTTTATTTTTTATTGAGACAGCAAGAGAAGACAATAGACAAATCTGAATAAAAAATATCTAACATTATTCTAAGACAGAATTGAGATGATGCACTTTGAAAGAGTCTTCACATACATTCCTGCTGGTAGTAATGCATTATTCATACATGTAATAAAGCACAGACGCCATTCTAATTTCATTCTAATGAATTTTAACAAAAGGAAAAATAAGGCCAAATGAAGGGAGAAAAATAATCAAAATGCTGTATTTTTCCTAAAAGGTGAGGCAAACGGTAGACTGCCTTAAGGCAGAATTTGCCTTCAAGTTGCAATGATCAATTTTACAGCAACGCTACAAGATACGTTTCACTTGAAGTGCCCAGGATGGCTACAGCTGGGAAACTGATGCTGTAGCGACCCTACGAAGTCCAAGAGAGATATATAAAACAGTTCATTTCATCAAGTATTCTCTCTTCTGTGTATTCATCCAAAGTCAACTAGCAAGCTTCCTAAAAACTACATTAGTGTTCAAACAAGTGATTAATTTATGTTATTAAGTTAAACATGAAAAATGACAATGTATTTTCTGCAAAAGAAGAGAAACTGAATAGCCACTACCCTCCGCACTGAACAGTAGTTTATATTCGTAAAAAACCCTCCAGAATAATGTTTTAATGATTATGACTGATCATTTAATGTTTATCCAAAGTTTGGTATGTAACTTTCTGACTGTAATTAACAACACGTGAGCCTGTATTTGCATCATGCTAGTATTTTTTGCACGATTCCCATGTGTTACACAGGTATTAAAGGTCACATCAGAAGGAAAGTGCACGGTAAATTTACTAACAAATGCATTTGGGATTACTGATTTCAGCGTCTATTTCTCCTCAAAAGCAGAGCAGCAGTATGGTGGTGATAGAATGAGTAAATTGTTCTTATATTTAAAAGTTTTGTGCTATTAAAAATGCATTGGTTCATTGTTGGTAGACTTAAAAATATTTTTTGCAGTATTTTGATTGCTATCTTTTGATTACAGGTAGCATGATCTATTTTCTAAAGGTGATATTTATAGCTAAAGAGGAAATTCTGGGATAAAAGTTTCATTAACAAGCCAACTCTGCTTCAGGAAGAGTAAGACTGGCAAAATGGTTTGTAAATGCCTCTGAACAGAGTGAATATTCTTACAGCTAGAGGCAAACCATTAGAGATTTGGCTAGAATTCATAACAATTCTACTTCATTTCCACCTACCATGAAACTTGCCAAAATACTTGGACATTCACATGGGGTTTTTTAAAGTACTATTGTATTTAAAAGACCAATCAGTGAGTAAGTGGATTCATGTTCAATTTGCTTTTGAGTAACTATAAATTCAGTACCTAAGCTTGATTCTTCATACATTTGTTCCAAAAGAAACAAAATCCCTTTTCCTCAAAGGAGGACAAAACCACTAAAGAATCAGTGTAAAATATTTTAAGTAGCAAGAAGGTCACCCTTTTAATGTGAGGCCTTTCCCATTAAGTCAGACCACAAATCCCATTACTGTATATTTCAGAAAGACAATCATCACTGATTTATACTACTAATTATTTACTTATTTATCATTATCTATTCAGTTCAACTCCACACAGGTTTAGTGCCCTATTCAGCTAAAGAATGTCTCAGAAAAAAACCTCTGTGAATCAGTTCTAACAGCTTAGGACAACACTAGTCCCACAAAGCTACCCATTCTCTTTGCTCAGACAGACAGCAAAGTTCAGGAAAAGATCTGAAGGTTTATTTTCAGCTTTGCCTAACTGACAGAATATTTAAACACATTAAAATCTGCAAAGTTTCTCAAGTTTCTGCACTACAACAATGTTTCATAACCACATCACACAATATACTGAGACTGGGCACCATAAATTCCCAACAGGAAAGAGTAATCAGGCAAAGAGAAAAATATGTGAGAAGTCATCAGCTTGTAACCTGTTACCGTGTTTACTTTTTTGAAAACAGTAGACATGAATTCTGGTTTGTTTCTCATTCTCTAGATTATGTAAACTGCCAGAAAACTGTAGAGGATTTGCACTATTGGTAAGTCTGTAACCATTTGGAAGCAAGTATCTCATGCCCACTCCAGACAGGGCACAGACAAAAAAAAATTCAAAAAAAATTTCAAACCCCAGAGTCTCCTTTTATCTTTGTTTTAGCCATTTCTTAGTGTAAAATTCATGTCAAGAATATGGTTGCAGAGGTCTAAAAATCTTTTCACATCCTTACCAAACTTAAAATACAATCAAAATACGAGTGCTGGGAGAGGAGTTTGACACAAAAGGCAGGTAACTTACCTCTGTTGCTGACAAACGTTTATCACCATTATCACTACCAACACCTGAATCTGAGTCCTTTTTACTTGGATAGATGTCATCAATGCTAGATGTGGGAAAAAAAAAATTAAAACTCAGTAAAAAGCTATCATAGCATTTACATTCAAATTCTGTTCTGGTTTCACTTAACTCTGAGCAAATTTCAAACTATCCTTAATGGAAGAAGGTGAAATAGCCTAGTACAGTAAAACACCAAACATTTTATCTGGTGATGGTAAAATAGATCAGACTAAATGGCTAATTAGCCTAAGGATTAATGAAGCAACAAAAATAATCTGCTACTAAGCTTGTTTTTGTCCATACACTATGCAAAACTGCTTAGTTACCAACTAAGCAGCACAGGACTGAAGCAATTTAGCCATGGGAGAAGAAACCAAAATGGTAAAACTCAAAGTGGAGTCAAGTGATACAATTGCAATCACTGACCCATTAAAACAGAACTCATATCTCCCTCAGGCTTGAAATAATTATTAACAGAAACCTCCTTTTGGTGCCTTAAAATAGACCTTGCAATTTAGGTTTTTGAGCAAATTACTGTAACAGAAGCAAAGGCTCACTATTCTGGTTTCATTACCCAATACGACCTCTACTCATTTTGAAGTGCACTATTAGATGCAGTACTCTCATCACCTAAAGTTTTTTTAAAAAATATATCTTATATCCCTTTATTTGCTATCCTGAAAGCTGTGATATTGAATTCAGATTGACACAGCAATTTAAGAAAGGAGCTTTATCAGTCTTCACATGAACAAGACATCTGATTCATTAATCCTAATCTTAAATTACCTCTTGCCAGTAAACATTGAAGATTGTTTTGCAGAAACTGCCTTTGGAAATCTACTCTGTACCATCCCCTTACCCTAACCTACATTCTCCACTATGAGCAAATATCAAACAGGACATGACATTCCTATCAGTTTTCTTGTATACCAAAAGAACAAAACAGAAAACCAGTAAGTGTTTCCCAAATGGAATACCTACTCCTCATCCTGGATTCTTCTCACTTATCTGATAGAAATTCACACAGGGATCTCCAAAGGTACATGGACAAAACCAATTTCATTCAAATCTTATTGAGATGACTGAGAGGGAGATTCTGTAACAGTTCTTGGTTTTTTTCTCTCACGATTTTAGCAGTAACATCTCCACTATTATTCATATCAACACTTTGTTTTCATTGAATATTTATCTTCAAAGATATCATACTTTCTCTGATTGGTTATATTACACTGCCCTTGTTAGCAGAGAAAGACTGGGCTAAAAGCTGATTTCCAACCAGCTATGGAGATTCTCATAGAAAGGAGCTGCTTTGTATCTGGTTCCTGTCCTTAAACCATGGCACAAGATGCCATTTCCTACAAGTCTGATATGAAACAGAAGATTTTGCCTCATTTTGCTAACAAATCAGCACACTTCATTTAAAAAGCATTCATGCAGCTCACTTTGTTTGACAGATGACTTTGGATGAATAAAAAAGATTAAAATGTCACAAAAGTGCAAACATCCAATCGCATATAAATCATAAAATATATCACAAAAATCACAAAACAACACATGAAAATAAAATTTATTTAATGTGTAGATAGATCAAGCCAACACCTGGTGTAACTACCATCTGATTATTTCCAATGTATTCCAGGAGTCCACTAGAAAGAGGTTAGATTTAAACTAAGGTTCACTTTTAAACTGTTAACTAATGTGCTGCTAACTTTAATCAGAATTGATTTTTAATTTTCTGAACTCTTACGGGGATTGCATTAGAATAAAAGTAAATGAAATCTCTGTGCAAAAAGGTACACTCTGAATAGCGTCTAAAGAAACAAAACTGTGGAACACAAAGATAAATACTATTTTATTGTTTGTAAGACTTCATACATACCTCTCTTCCACAGGTTGTGGCAAATGCTGTGGTTCAATGGCATTAAGATACAGCGAGTCTGCTGTTTTAATCTGACATGCTTGTACAGTTAGATATTTGAATATATGCACCTTACCCTTTGTACAAATCTGTGGAACAAGGAAAAAATTAGGTTTATAACTAGAATTTAAAAAGCAATTTATTCCAAGTGTCACTTGGTATAAGCCTCCCTGAAATTCAACTAATATTACAAATTTCACTTAAAAGAAAATAGATTTTTTAAAATTACTAAGTACTTCAATTATATACTCAATTATTTGTGTGTACCAGTATAAATACCCTCAGAGACTAAAACAGAAAGCAAGAAAATAATGTATTCTTCTTAAAAAATCCAAATGAGCTTCTAACTCAAAAAAAGGACATTAAAATATATGGTATGCCCTATTACTTACTATAAATAGAGTAATTAATTATTTTCAGAATTACCGTACCATGACATTTAATTAGCTAGCGTGCCCTTTATATTCTTGGTCACATTGTTTTTAATAGTGTCCAAGCATACTTACGATGCAATTCACCTTCATTTTAGGATTTTCTTTAAGTGCACACCTCTTGCTTTGTATTTTTTAGTTTAAAGGCATAATCATTATCGATTATGAAAAGCATTTCTCCAATGTAATAAAAATTCTTAAGTATTTCAACAACTGTTGAGCCAGAACACTTGTGGCTTTCAGAGATGCAGTTTGAATTTACTGTCCAGTAAGTTAACAACAAAATTGTCCTTAAGCAGCAAACACAGAATGCATTTATTTACTTTTATTACTCAGAGTGGCCTACAGTTCCAAAGAGGAGTTTTATTCTTTGTGCATCAAAATTTATGAACTTACACTTCAAAGTGAAATAAATTTCACAGGGATTGTGTTTTAGACTATTTAGGCATATTTTTTAAGTTAAAGTTAGCAAACCACTGTAGAACCTTCTAGAACTGTATTCATTTTACCAGAAAGAAAAATAACCCAGGAAGTTTATCACAAGTCTTTTTCAAAATTACATGCATATTCCAATGTTAAATTTCATATATAGATAGAAATCACAAAAAAAACCAGCTATCAGAATGGACATCTTCTAGATGTGTGTTGTTTTAAGTGCTGTGCAAATTCATACTGGGAACAGAGGATATTTTTTGTATCTTATTTAGATACATCCTATGTCTTATTTAAATATCAACAAATATCAACAGCCTGTGATGACTGAAATTCAGAAGCCTGCAATTGCAGAAGGTGACATTTTACACTCTAAAATGTGTTAGCAGCCACCCAATATTAAGGCACAACTTAAATTATTACTTACTTGTGCTGGTGGAGATTGCAAAGGATTATTCTCAAGCAGTAATACTTGTAACTGCACCATCTTTCTAAAACAAATTGGAATCACAAGCACTTTATTGCAGGAAAAGTCAAACTTTACCAAGGGAAGCTGTACTAGTTCTAAAAGTAATAAAAAGGAGAGAAGGTGTTATATCTGTTTTTATTTTTGGCATAAAAAAATAAAATATTTTTGAATAACACTTCTTTTGCATTCAGGAAAAATACAAGCTCAGGGAGGAATTAAGATCAACATTTGCTCCATTTTATACTGGGAAATAAAAGAGTGTTGCTATACAAGCGACAAGAAATTCTAAACCAAATACTTCGAATTTTTTTCCCCTGAAACTCAGCTGACAGTTCCCATACTGCATTCAGACACTTGTTTAATTTAAAAGTTGCCTAGAATCATAAAGATACATTGAAGAAACCTCACACACCATTCTTCAGTAGATACCATTGAATGTTATATTTTGCAGACCCAAATGCAATAAATTTGAACACAAGGTAATAGCTACTTTTTAATTATATCTATTTGTATGATTAAAAATACTTTCAAAATTATAATAAGAAGAGCTACTGTAAAGATTTTTTTTTTTGTTCATTTGCTTTTACCTTGGGGTAAAACTTCGAGGTAATTTCTTCGGACATTTAGTTCTTTTAAAGATTTCAGCTGGCCTATCTGCTGTGGCAAAGCTGTGATTTCATTACAGCTGACATCCTACAGTAAAACAGTAATAACAAATAATAATGAACTTTCAGCTCCTACATGTTCCATAATACAAACATAGCTAATATGCTATTATCATTGTGACATTTTATTAACCAGAAAAAATGCAACAATCTATGTCCTGTAGTCACAACAAAATAAAAAATACAGGGGAAAATATTTGCACGTGAGTTAAAACCAGAGCAAATTGTTATTTGGAGAACAAGTTAATTTTGAAAGTTAATTTAATTTCTATAGAAATATTCAAAACTACTTATTTAATAAGTTCTAGTTTTTTGCTCTTTTCTTCATGTAAAGAATTCAGCATAGTGATTATATAACCGCATATGTTAGGAGGAAATGTAAAAGTACTAGTGAATCTGAATTTTTAAAAAGGTTCTTGTTCTTCTTGATGGAATATTTAAGCAAAATAAATAATAGTAGTAGTAATAATAATGATAATAATAATAATACAGCAATAACATTCTGTAATGATCCTCAGTAAAGGCATATATTTGATCATCAGGGCATGTAGTAGACTATAAAAGGGACAGAGCTTATTTGGCATTACTTAACTATTTCAAGCAAGAAACTGCTATGAATGTGCATGAAAGATCAACTTCTTGGATTAAGTCAGTCTGTGATGAGACAATTCTTAAATACTAGCTACCATTTTTGCTGCCAAATGGACATTGAAACCTCTGCTCACATTCCAGGCAACCTGCAAATTTCAGAGATGTCCCAATTATGCTGTCATTTCAGCACTAAAATAAGGAAATAGTATCTCACAGTATGAAAGCTAAATGGAGTAATGCCCCATTTTCCTGAAAAGCCAACTGAATACTCCTACTCTCTCAATGTTTCAAATGCATTTAAAACTACCTGGGAGCTCTTCAACTACAAAAGTTTGAGAAGCCAGATTTCCAAGTCATGTCTTTGAAGATGCTTGCTTTAATGCCAGTCAAAAACATTATATTAACTCCCTATATTTGAGCCTAAAATCTACTTAACAAAAACCTTACAGTAAAACCAAAATGTGATCTGGCAATGCTGTTCCCTGTATCCAACAAGTTTCTTCTTGTAATAGAATCCTATTGCTGCCAAGACTTCCTTCCCTTCTCAAAACACAGTCAGGAAATTACTGTAGCTTTTAGACAAGGAAATCAGAAATCCCAGCTAATGAGCGCATTTTTGCCCAAGTTGCCACAAAGTTTGGTTAATTGTACTGTTCCCTGATAATTTATTTTTAAAGCTTTACTGTCCTATTTTTAATTTACAGTCTTTAAATTACTTCATAATTAGATACTTGATTTTTAGGGCACAGAATTTAAAGTCACCTTGTGACAAAGAAACTCTAGACCAAGTGTACTTAGGCACACATACCAGAACAAGTCAGGGAAAGAGACAGAATTCTAGAGGAAGCATCAAAAAAAGAAAAAGCAAGTTGGCAGTATGTAACCTCAAAAACAAAGTCCACTTCCACTTACAGCCTTTCAAAACATCCTCGATAAGACTGATCTGTTGTGACAGCATGTCAGCATTCACAAGATCTCTAGAGACAGCAGTATCCTTTAGCCTACTAAACACTGTGTCCAACTTACATTTTTTAATACTTTGTTTGAATAGCCATGGAAAACAAAGACTTGCAACAATTACTCATAGTTATGCTCTTGACTATTATTAGACTTCATGAGTGTGTGACAGAGACAGCGTTAAACTTTCTCATTACTTTGGCAGTAATGGAAGCAATACCATCAAATACCTATGGTTTCCAAGCTAGTAATTTTTTAAGGAATTATGCAACCAGCAGTTTGGAATTCGGCATCAGGGACATTTGCAGGTAACTGAAGTGCAAACACTCAAGTTCCATGGGGAACTAGTATTTGCTGAGGTCAGACTTGTGGTATTCTGTTTTGTTCTCACCAGACAGACAATGTCCTGCCATAACAAGGCAATTTGTCAAAATCAGAGAAATGTAATGGTTTTATTTAACATTTATTAAATTAGGAAATTTAACACTAATTTCTGTGGCATGAAAGCAAAATCATCAACTGTTTCCCTTTGTTTATGGCAATGTTTAAATGGCCTTAAACCAATCCAATTCAGCATGTATGTTCAGCAAGATAAACAGAAAAAACAACAAGGTACTCTGACTCCACATTAACATATTTATTCATACATACACAGAAGTTTATCCAAACCATTCCAATTGAGGCAAACTTCCTCCTTACATAACTTTAAACTCAGGACTCCTGACTGAGTCATTATTCCTAAAAAGCACCAGGGTTCAGTCAGAGCTTGTGACACAGCAGCCATACTGAAGAGTAAAAAGAAGCTAGACAGTATGTGAACACATAGACCCTTTTAGAAAACAGCAGGCAGCAAGTCCCACGTGGTCAGGCTGCTGTCTCTGATTAGATGAATGAGGTAAAAGACAAATCCTAAGTGAGAAATTTGAAGGCTTCCAACATGAGATAGGAGCATCCCAGAGCTAGAGAGGGCTGTTATCTGAAGAAGGCAGAAGTGTAATACTGCCTGATAGGATGGAGAACGGAATTTTTGTTTTGATAGTTTTGAGTACAACTACTGAGCCATCTCTGCATAATTACTTTTACTTGGCAGAAAGTAAGTTTCAGATTATCTTCACACTAATTTTGCACTCTCCTGGCTGACAGTAGAGGCATGATTGAGTCAAAGATTTCTCTGCAGCAAATAAAAGTAAACCTCCCAACAAAATTTTTTTGCCAAATAATTACAATGTATTCTGCAGGGTCAAAAACTTATGCTACTAAAATAAGTTAGCTGTCAGAACCCTAAATATAAAAATACCTGAAAGTTTTCTGCAAGTAATATCAAAGCTATTCTATGCTACAGGTATGAAATTCATAAAAATACATACCTGTAAAAGGTAAACCATTACCTAATGTGGAGGCCTGAATAAATGTATAGTTATGGAGAGAGTCCCTGTTAAGATCTATGTATTGTAAGATCTATGTGTAGGTCCGAGTTGCTCCAAACGAGCTACAGCTGTGAAGCCCTTAGTTGGGCAGCAGCTGTAGCTCGTGAAGGTAACTGGAATAAATAGGGGTGGGTCGAGGGCCCAGGAGGAGTCCCTGAGAAGGCACATGAAGGACTGTGCTGCAGAGAACAACAGCTTGGTACAGTATGGGACTTGAGAAATATGGAATACAACAAGAATACAACAACTGGTGACCCCGATGTGATGAAGAACACGCAGCCAAACATCGAGAGAAGGTATGGAACCCCTTGACATCACAGAAGATAGGACAGCTGAGAGCTGTGGCAGCCTGAGAGCTGGGACTGTATAGGGATATGTATATATTCTATGTATGTGTTTAAAGATAGCTGAGAGCTGTGGCAGCCTGAGAGCTGGGACTGTATGTATATCATAATTGTTTAATTGTTAAAAGAAAAGGGGGGAAATGTGGGGGCCTGAATATATGTATTGTTATGGAGAGTCCCTGTTAAGACCAATGTATTGTAAGATCTATGTATTAAATAAGTGGGTCCTTATGGAGAGAGTCCCTGTAAGATCTATGTGTGGGTCCGAGTTACTCCAAACGAGCTACAGCTGTGAAGTCCTTAGTTGGGCAGCAGCTGTGGCTCGTGAAGGTAACTGGAATAAATAGGGGTGGGTTGAGAGCCCAGGAGGAGCCTATGAGAAGACACACTGAGAACTGTGCTGCAGAGAACAACAGCTTGGTACAGTATGGGACTTGAGAAATATGGAATACAACAAGAATACAACAACCTACCCCATTTTGGAGGATAGAAGGGAAAATGCAGAGTTTATTGGAAAGATCTAATTTGTAGCAAATTACATTTGCATCATTCTACAGTGACTATAGGGGTAAATTTTGTATTAAAAAGGTAGAGAAAAAGAACCCTTTGCTATGTAGATACAGATCTCACTGCATGCCACTTCTGGAACTGCTGGGGAACCTGAGGTAGCTCAGGAATGTCCTATGGATACAAGAGCTGCACGGAGCCAGGTGGCATCTCAGGGTCTATCCCCTGGCCCAGGCCAGCACCAGCACTGTGTACACACCAAAACAACAACACTCTCTGCCAGAGGGCTGAGTGATGCTTCTGCTTGAATCCCCTGCTATTCAGCCTGGCATTGCCCTCACAGCTGAACTTTTTGTGCAACAACTGTAATATGACTTCATGTTTTTTGTTTGTTTCTTTTACTCGTTTTAGAACAATGATCACCTTATTATCTAAACTGCTTTACAGTTTACATGCCAACACAGATTCCCCACTCTCAATCCTACCACTATTTGCTTCTCCCAATACATCACAGTTATGTCATTTCCAGTTAAATAGTGCAACTCATTTCAGTAGAAATGTACCAAACACACATGGTGGCATCCAATCAGGTCATCTGAACAGGCTCATGCTCAATTTAACAAAAACTTGTTTTTCATTCAGCCTCCCCCCAATGCCTTCTAAATCACAAAGAACAAGCACCAGACCTTTTTCAGTTTTCATGTATCTTCTAGGCTACCAAAGTGACATGGAGCTAGAGCTCTCATATGAAATACTTTTAGAGCAAGATTTGTTCTGCTCTTCATGACAAATAGTAACACAAACTATATTATAACTGGAAAGCAATATGAAAATCCAGAATTTAAACACATTATATGCTTGAACCAAACAAACCAAATCTGCTCTGCGTATAATCAACATTGATGTCAAGCTTTTAGTTTTTACTAAACTTTTTACTAAATTTAGCTTAAATTATTTATAAAACTGGAACCATCACCTTCTATTGCGTCTATTTTAAGCACAACAAAAACAGTGCTATCACCTAACATATTTTTAGGAATAATTAAATCAGAACCATCTGTGTAAATCTCAATAAACCCACCACACACGCACAAAAATTTAAAATATTTGATAAATTAATAATGCTCACCAAAGAAAACAAACTTGGTAGTCTTGAACTCACTCATAACTCACAAAGGAAAAAGTAACTACCCCAACCATCCTCATCAACAGCCATATCAATTCTAATATAGAACAGAAGCCTGATACCACAGGATTCTGCTCAAGAATAGCAAAAGGAAAAAGCCCCACAGTTGCTACTTCATACTACCTATGAAGAATCAATAGCAGGGTTGGGGCCTCAATGTTATTAATTTCTGTAATGTAATTTATTGGAGGAACTATTGTTATAAAAACAAGACTATGATAATAAGGCGCTTTCAGGCCCAGAAAAGCAATGCAAAGTAAATGCTGTCAATGGAGATACCAGCAGCTGGAAGGAAAATCAAATCTGATTGTCTGACTATACATAAATTAGCAAAGCCAAAATACAGTTTGTCAATTTGTATCTCAAAAGGTCAAAATGAATAGAAATAACCAGAAGACTTATGTCATAAAGAATTCAGAGTCTCAGCCTACAACATATCAATATATAGCAGAGGAAGATAAAGGGAGAGAAAGGGAAGCATTCTCAAATATATTTTTCACAAACATGAGCAATTACATTAACTTTATGCTATAGTACCAAATAAATTTTGCTTTTTCAGACTGTCATTGACTGGACAACATATTCTAAATGATCTACTTCTTATAGAAACAATACTTGTGTAGACAGCTTTGAAAACAAGGAGTACAATCATTTTGTAGATCTGTTTAGATGGTGTTCCAGGAAAGGAAGGTTGCATGACAAATGTAGTGAAATAAAATGAAAATAGACTGATAAGACCAGTAGCTGGAGTGGAATGCAGTGTGGTAAGCAGATAGTAAAAACACAGAAAGGAAGCAGGAGGGAGGGGAGGGTGCTACAGGGGGGGTACAACCTTGCAGAGCCTAATGTCAGAACTTAAGGACTTGATACAGTGAAGCAGGGAGCCAAGGCAGGCAGTGAGAAACACTGGTAAAGATGAGGAACTTCGAAACTGAGTTTTGAATGAACCAAGGGCAGTCATGTTGTTTAAAAGAGTCCTGGGGAACATAAAGGAAACTTCTATTGTGTTACTATCCAACACACCTGAGGAGTTAAAAACTTAAGTTCTGCAAACTACATTATAGTATAAAGCAGTTGTTCAAATATATGTGAAAAGTGAATTTTACTGTTTCTATTTAAATTCAAAAGAAGTCAAAATAAAAAGTGAAAAAAAGATCAGTAACATACCAATTCCATTAACTGTTTTAGCTGACCTATCTCTTCTGGAAGGGAACCTAGCTTATTGTTACTTGCAATTAAGACTTTTAGAGGAAGACCACACAGGCAAGCTGGCAAAGAAGAAAGCTGATTTCGACTGCAACAAAACAAAACAAAAAATATTAAAACCATTGGTGATGTTCTACTGTATACTCACAAACTCTGAGAGCTGCAAAATGCCTTCATTTTTGTGGGTCATATTTTATGCAGATAAAATTGAAATTTTCAATAGGCAACAATTAAGAAGACACTTGCATATTAGAAACACCTGATTATTGACTAACAATATTGCAGAATTTACCACCGTGGAAAAAATGCATTGTATCAGTTTAACAACATTGTAACAAATCTGTTTGCCACAAAGAACAGCTGTTTCCCTTCCTAATGAATACAGGAAAGTCAACTGAGACAGTATTTTGCAAATATTTAAACATTCCTGTGGTTTTATGTGCCATTAAAATGGATGCCTTTTGTTCCAGCGGAAAGACAAATATATAAATCACAGACAAAATGGTTATTTTCTCAATTAATTTAAAGCACATTTATAGTTGAAGATGACTTGGTACATCTTGGTCTCTGGTTCTGTGCTATTAACTCAGGTAAATACAGCAAAAATTTCTGCGACTATCAATGGCTCATTTCTTCCCAAGATTCATAGGCTAGAGCTTAAAGATGACAAATATCATGACCCTTTGTGATGTCCACAAGAATAAAAATAGTAATTCGTGGCTCAATTCCCAGAAGAAACTTTATGCTTATCAGAATAACATAGTTACTCTCTTCTGGAATATTTAAAAATTTCCTTAAAATACAACATTTTCTTTCTTATGATTGTTAACATGTAGTAAAACAACGAACAGTAACTTGAAGTGGTACCCCAGTATAAACCATTTTTTTAGCTCCTGCCTACATCTTAAGGCTTCAGAAAGCAAAGACATATGACTATATTCTGGAACACATGGTAAAAATTGTCCTGTGTAATTTCAGTAGGAGTTGCAATATTGACATGAAACAAAGACAAACAAAAATCAAAATTCCACAAGCTGCAAAGCATTTCTTCAAGAGCTAGGCCAGCAGCATACTACAAAGCTGCATATAGAGATGGATATTCATACTCTACAAAACGGTCTCAAAATGTTGCACAAAGCAAACTACCATCTTATCTCTGTTCTGCGTGCCAGGATACAGACTGATATCAAGTAACAAACCCAAAGAAAATAAAAATGAGAAGTCTGACTGTTAACCAGCAGAAGCTGAAAAAAAAATATGAGCACTTATTGTGGAGCCAGGTTTCTTAATTCTAATGTCCTTACAGAAGACCAAGACACAACTTTTTTGAAAAATTACCTGGAAGTATTGTTTTAAGTTCTAAAGAACTCAAATGGAGGAAGCTTAGAGTCTAAAACAGCAACCCCTATGCTGCAGATCAGACACAGATAAAAAAAAAGTAAAACCAATTTTTAAGCTCCACAGAACTCAGAAGCAACCCAGTAAGAGATAAGGAACAGAACATAACCAGGGCAAGTGAGTAATAAATCATCATTAGTTTCAAAGGAATTTCTTTAAATAAAACATGAACAGTATCCACCAAGGCCCAAAAACTATATATAGATCTCTTGGCATCACTTTCTAATGCTATTCAACATATGGGCTCTGCTGGTAACAGGCAGAAAAATATGCATTTTAAATCCATCATTTATTTCTTGCCAAGAACAACGTGGTTAGAAACTCGGGGATGTATTTCCTTCTTCAGACTCTTCAATGCATTCAACTAACATGGGGAAGGGCACATCCAAGTAAAGGGGGGATTTTAAACTGAGAGAAATCACCTTAGTTAATCAAATGAAAAATCGCTTTTATTTTGTCCAATTTACTGTCATATGTGATATAAAATCTATTATAGTTTTGTGATGATTCAGACAAATTCTATCACTACACAGAGTTCTAATTCAGTGTTTCATGACATTGAGTTCTAACCAAATTAATTCTAATTCCTAAATTTACTAAGATCTTTTATCTATATTTAATGATTTAATCCAGCTTCAAGTTCTTCATGTATATCTAGCAAACACTAATTCAAAATCTCAAGTCCTGTTTCTTGTATGTGTGCAGATACCCAGGACACACTGTTCTACTTAAATTTTTAAGACAAAATACTGTTCCACAGTGGCCAAAACTGCAGTATAGTAATAATATAGACTTGAGAAAAAAAGACATGAGGAAGATCTTCATTGTTGATAAAACTGATGATCAGGACTTCATTCCCTGAATTTAAAAGACTGACAGCCACTTCACCTTCTACTCAGACCTCATTCTCACAAAGAACAGGCTGATAGAGCTTCACTATTACAGTTTTTACACATTAAACTACAAAGAAAATTCCACACCTTGCCCCAACTGAAAAAGGGCTCACTTGCCCTCCCATCAAGAGCACATGTTCATTCATATGCACTTTAACTAGCACCAATTCTCTGTACTGATTAGTATTCACACAAAATTTTCCTGTAAAGGAGGCAAAGATGTCCAACTCTTTGCCACTTTCTCCTCAAAAAGGCAGAAGCTATATTTCTTTCATAATGTGACTATGCTAGTGATAGATACAGTATCTCACTCCTCCATTCTATTCCCCATGGTGAAAAATATAAATCTTCTGTCCCTCCATCTTTTGAGCTGCAAAAAGTATGTCAAGCTTTACAAAATTTGTCATCAGAAGTGAATTAAAAGAAAACAACTGTGTGGATGTGATTAGCATTCTGGATTTGTTGGAAGATTAAGGGACAGAACTGGATTAACTTTCTTGGTTTTCTTTTAATAATTATTTTTACATTTTGGTATTTATGATGCCTTCATACAGAGCTGTCTCTGCAGCCAATGAGCTTCTGTGTTACCCTTTTCAGTAACATGAAAAAATGCAGTCAGTTGTCCCAGAACATTATAAAGTGCAGACAAAGAAAGCTTTACATATTTGCAAATAAACAAAAAAATGTAGCAAAGATAAACTTACCTCAAATTTAAGTAAGTTAGCATTTGTAAGTTTACTATGGCATCTGGTATAACTTTGATACAATTGTGGTATAGATTTAGTGTTTCCAGTGACACAAAATGGCACAACTCCGTAGGAACTTCAGTTAACCTATTCTTGGATAAATCTGAAAAAAGGAAAAAGAGAAGGTATATATTTTGAACCATTAGAAAGCTATACTTTGAAAAGCTGCACTTTATTAAAGTAAGTGAATAAATATAATTTACAGGGAGACAGCAAATTAGATCAGTGTGTTTATTATGCAAAGTAAAGCTAGTGCAAACTTCTACAATTTTGGAATGGAACAGGCTGCATATAAAAGAGCAAACATTCAATTACGATTTATTTGGTCTAATAAAAAGTAATTATTTGCAAGACTCAATATGCTGAGGAAATAGTTGCAAACAGATTCCAAAGCTCATATAATATACCCAAATATCTAGCCAATACACAGTCAGACATCTGCAAATAACGACAGCATTGAGAAAAACAAGCAACCAGGATTACATGTTTAATTTATTTAAATAGATTAATAAATAAATCAGGTAATTCTTCAAACTGGCCTGTATTTCCTGAGTCTAAACCATTTATAAATGAATGCTACCCAAAGAAACAGTGGTGGTCTTCAAGAATGGATTTTATATAAGTACATACAAGACAACAGTGATGGATTCCAAACCCCCCAGACCCTGCTTGCACCCACAGAACAAAAGCTTTTGACTTTTGATCAGTTACTCATTCTTCATTTGCCATTCTAAGCACACAGACACAAAGGAAAACAAGGAGGGAAAAACATTACTGAGCTTTGTTACTTAACTACCACTGTATGAAGAATGAGGTATCATAGTACTGATGTGAGCTCAAGTCATAAAACAATAATGCATACCAGCATTCAACTGAAATAACTGAGTTCAAATCATTGTTTAAGTAGTGTGGCAGAATAAATCTTATCCTCAGAAACTAGACAAATGCTACCTAGCCATGTCACCAGCCTGATAACCTGCCCTGAAGAATGATCACCTGTGAAGTGGAAGGAACAGGAATGCACCTATGCAAAAAGCAAAATGTCTGATGGTAAGGAAAAAATAGAACTTAATGATCTCCTCACTTAACTGCTGCTATTTTAAGCCTAGTGCCTGATCCTTCAAAGCTTATTTCAAAGCTTACTTAAAATAAAAAGAAAATAGCAGCCAAAGTATGGATTATTTCCATGGCCCTGTCCTCACAGCCATAAATCATATTTTTGCTTTTTGTGAACAAACACGTAGAAGTCAGAAGAATTTTTTAACTTCCTTTAAAGTTGGCTGTACTGCAGCACAGCTTGAATTCAAACTTATCACCAGCCAGGACTTATTAGTTTTGTTCTTGTTCCTGCAATGTGAGCCTGAAATTCAGCACATTCTAGTCTTGTCAGCCTCCACGTGGCTTCACCTCATTGCTTCAACAAGAAGTTGGTTTCATTACTCCATCCCCTACCAAGGCCATTGTGATGCCTGCAGGCACAGTAACTGAGAGCAGCTCTGCTGACCCTGATGGCAGCACGATCAAATTGAGCACTGCAACCAAAATTATTCACTTCTAAGTTACTCTACAACAGCAACTCTAACTGCTCTGCTTTCTCCTACCAGGCTTTGATGGTGGTTACACACAGCATTACCTCACCTTCTGTTTCCCTTCATTTCTGACATCAAACTAAACCATTTCCTGTTGAGTGACCCTTATTACTGTTTCAAAGCAGGAGAAAGCTCTTCATTGTTCCTCTGGTTTAGTGCTTTAATTCTGTACTGTTTCTATTTATCCTGAGAGAACTTGTTTATCAGCACAGCATCCCAAAAGAATTCTGCTGCCTTTCTAGCTATGTTTATTATCAGATATTAACAGAAGACTGTCATGCTGTAACTTTTCAAATGATGCAGGAGCTACTCATATTCTACAATTCAAGTGCAAAGAAAACCTCACTTTTTTAAAATCATGCTTTTCTGGGGTGACATTGCCAGGAAAATCCTGCTCACTTTCTCCTTTAAAGTGGAAGGAGTAGCAAAATCCAGATAAGTGAACTCTCCTGTCTAGGGTGAAAACAACCTGGCAGTAGATAAGAATGACAACCCATCCTTCACCTGATCCTGCTCCAGTGATACACAGATTAAAACCCATGAACACTAAAATGTTACTTCTTCTTGAGCTCCTAATACTGCAGCCTGCCACTTTCACTCCCTCTTCATGCCTGTTCTCATTTATCTACACATCAAATAAAAGACTGTTGCCACAATATTTGACTCACTCTTCAAAAATTCTAGTATCTCAAAAAAGCAAAATAGCAACTAGATTGACCCCACACCTAAAACAGGCATTACTAACACAGTTAAAAGCCTTTTTTCCCCTTATTTATTGCTATCTTTTGTTCTCAAGGTTTTAACTCTGTTAAACTGATGAAAGAAAAACAAAAAACCACACAGATCAGAGACAAATCCCTTCCTGTCATCCACAGGACCATGGGTTATAGGACACACTACATGCACAACAAAGGAAGTCAATTATTTGTTGCTGTGTAGTCATCACAGTAAGAGAATTTCAACACTTCTATCAACTGCTGCTTCCTAAATAATGATAATGATGACAATAAAAATAATTTTTAAAAAAATCTAACCTATTCACAGTATAGGGCAGGGGAATAAAAACTGCACATTTTATTTACACATTGTTGTAATATAACCTAATAGAAAAAGCAGAAGTTTGTCACTATAATTTACTGATAGAAGGTGTAATTAACAGGAAATTTGAATATCTTCCATTCTACACAGTATTGGAATGGAATCTGACATACAGAATGCCCATCATACTTTTAACTAGTGGTATCACTTTTGCCAAAAAATAGACCTCCCCAGTCATATGGAAGTTAAAGAAGAAAACAGATTGCTTTTGTACAATCCTAGAATGAATGTAAGCCTCTGAACATGATGCAGCTGTGAAGAAAGCTTAGCAGCTTTCTGAAAATTCCACACAGGAAAGCACATGTTGTAAGAACCTAAAAGGAAAACAGCCTGCATAACAGTTTTATACTGTACTTTATAAGCCCACACAAACATGTAGAGAAACCTCTGAAGTTCAAATAATTATTATGATACTACTTTATATGAGGGTACTTTTGCCTCAAATTTCTGCATCTTACAGTAAGTCTGTATAAAACTCAGAGTTAACCTGAAATACAAGTTCTAGCATAAAATACAATGGTTCAGACTTTAGGAAACTGCAGAATCATTTGAATATACTGAAAAAAACAGTATGCCTGTACCTCGGTTTTGTCACCATTCATAAACTTTCTGATTTTTTTTTGCTAAGGCATTCTTGGGTTATTTAGTGAAAAGAATGCAGAAACTACATTTTTAAACCACTTGTGACAATACTTTTAAAGTACAGAAACAACTAGTTGGCAAACCTTTAGTTTCTTCCTGCAATTCTTTGACTCTACACTTCCCAAATTGCTAAGCTGCACAGCTCCCTTACATGACTAATTTGTAGGATAACACTTGATGGTAATTACTAATAATAAGTTACTGTACAGACTGGCTTTTGCTACAGAAATGGAAATGAACAGAGGGGTGGAATTTGCTGGTGCTTAAAAGAATTTTAAACAATTTGCTTAGACTATGCAACACAAGGGAGATGTAACAAATAAATGAATCTATGATAGCAGAAGAGCATTTCATGTTTGCCAAGACAGTACAGGTAGGTTTCACCTGAGGTCACTACTTCCTGTAACTTCCATTATGAAATAGATGACACAAATACGAAACAATGGGGCAGGGGAGTCCATGCAATGGAGTGAGCTTCCTGTGTTAAATGAAACACACCATTCATTCATTATTTGTGACACCAAGACATTTTCAAACTACATCTGGCTTCACTTCATCTTTTCCTGCCAAGAACAAGTTTGTTAAAACTCCAAAATAAAGTAAGAGAACACAAAAAAATAAGCAATCCAGTTTAGAAAAATATTAGATGGAATCTTGATCTTTAAAAGAGTCAGCAGAATTCTGGCACAATGACATGGCTTTTGTATGAGAAGTGTTACTATGTTGGAAGCCAGACAGGAACTACACAAAATAAGCACTTCCTTAGCTGGGAGAGAACAATTAAAAGCAAAAAAGTTCACACTGGTAAATAAGCATTTAACAGGAGAGTCCAAGCCTTGTTTGGTAACTGGCATACTGCACGGCCAGGAACCACACTGCCATTACACAGTAATTACTGGCCCCCTTCCCTGCAGCAAAACCTTTTCATTCCTACAGCTCTGACAACCTCCACCACAATGAAGGGCTGCCATTGCATATGACCTTCCTGGCTTCACAATTTACAGCCAGACAAACAAGTGCCTCTATACATATATATACTATGTATGCATGCTATAAAAAAACTGCAGTGCTGAGACCAAAATGGTTTTGTCAAAATACCCCAAAAAAATTAGAAGTCAAATAGTAACATTTCTTTCACTAAAACTCCTGAAGTGCTCCAATTTCACTACTTTGTAGTGATTAATAGATGTTTAAATATCAGTTATTAATGCATTATTTAATTCAAGCTGCACACTATTTATGGGAGAGCTAAACAACTGAAGACTTTAAATTGTAAAACTAATTCTTTAAACAAATATGCACATGCACTACTACATCATAAATCTTGACAAAGAACTTTAAAGAAAGCAGCTTATTAAAAGGAAGTGATTTACACATTTCAGATGGTAGACAAATTCACTCTAAGTTTATGTTTCTAGAACACAAATCTGCAATAGAAAAACTATCCACCACAGAACAATAAAAATAATTAAATCTATCTATATATATATATGAAACACCTGTATTTGCTATGAAGTCCTGAAATCAAGAAATTGCAAGGGAAAAACGTCACCCAAACAACCTTAATTCCAGGCCACTAAGTTCCTTTTTTCTGCAGGATTCAGCACTGACTGAATAAAAGACAGGAATCATTTTGAAGAAGCTATTTGCATTTGCACTAAGATACCATTCAAGGTATTCAAATGAGATGTCTGAAATTTGACAAGGAATTCAAACAATTCACTGAAAAAGCCTAAAAAAATTAGTCAGTTCCACCCTAGTTTCATAATGCAAA